AACTGGACAAATTCAGATGAGGTTCGCATCGCCTTGTTCACGTATAGGGAACCCTCATTGCCATTGAAGCCCGTCATAATGGGGACCTTGTGCCACCTCCCCGACGTCCATGTTTCTAAAGGCGGTCTTGGTATGATATCGCCATCAATGACAGGCTGGAAGGCCCATTTGAGCGAAGGATTGTATTTGTCGAAAACCGTTGTCTGTGCAGCTTTAATGACGTCTGTGGACTGCTTGCGCAGGAAAGGAAATATCTCATCCTCACGAAGATCTTCAGGGCAGCCTGCTTCGCGGATAAAATCCCTAAATTGTGCCTCATGAACCTCCGCGTTGAAGGGTCGAACAGCACGAGATGTTGGAGCTCCTGATTCCAAGATTACCCTGTGGAAGAGCGGTGCAACTTTATCCTTATAGTTCATCAGGTGGTGACCAATCTGCTGACGTCAGATTATTGTATAATGATAGTGATCCAAAAAGATTTACCGAATGCGCCCCTGCTGACAGGCCGATCAACGTCACATTTCCTGGATCACCTCCAAATGTTGTAATATTTTCATGAACCCATTCCAAAAGTAAAATCTGGTCTCGTAGACCAAGGTTGAGGATGCCCTCCTTTGAACTAAGTGTTGATGGCAGAAATCCTAGAGCTCCTATTCTATAGTTGAAAGACACAGCAACGAAAGGCTCTGCTGAATGTGAAACCATCGATGCCGTTTTGTGCATGGATGATGTTCCCCTGTTGAAAGCACCGCCATGGATATAAACGGCGACCGGCAGCTTGTCATGGGCACTGATCTTACCCGCATGCCGGAATACATTGGCCGTTAAGCAATCCTCAGAGTACTCCACTTGCGGCGCCAATGCCGCTCTGAGAGGCTTCCCAGGAGCTGCAGAACCGTATTTCGAAGCATCCATTGTGCATGTTGATGCCGCAACGGGAACTGCTAATCGGAAACGTCTATCGCCGGTGGGCGGCAGTGCATACGGTACACCGAGAAACGCATCGATTGGCCGTGGCAGATCTTCACATAATTGCACGCCTATAAACGTGCCCTGGGTCAGGGTGACCCGGGGCCGACTAGTGATATCAGATTGGGCGTCCATAAGGAGGTCTCTGATTTTTTTTGGAATGCAAAGATAAGTGTTGTTGCTGTGATATAATCTACCAGAGTCAAAGGGAGTCAGACCAAAGTAGCATTGGTGTAACGAGTGCACATTTGACGTCTCTCTGTGTTCCATTAACCAATAAGTTGTAATTTGGTCTAGGCCCGATGGCGAGGTGAGGAAGAGTCCTCGGAAATATTTCTCGGGCAACTGTGGAGTCTGAGGATATACCTTTGGTTAACATAGCCACACGTTTACCCGATAAGAGTTTCCCGTGCGAGGTTCCCGAGAAGAGGAAATGTTTTCCGACATTCGGGAAAGATCATGTTTGACCCATCACCTAATTATTCATGTCATATCAGATCGCACGAGTCTCAGATTCAATCAACTGAGAGCTCTGGTGACATTTCACTGTATTATTAGAATTGTTCATCGTCTCTATTGTCTCTCTTCAGCCCAGGAATCACACCATCTCTCTCACTGAATCCACGGGTATGTCCTTCAGATACATTTCTAACCTCTCATCTGCTTCTTTTCCAAGTTTAGTTGCCTCTTCAAACCGGCCTTTAAGCACAAGCAAGTTCCTTAGACGCCATATGTCAGCTATTACTTGCGGAGATGCCACCCCCTCTCCAAAATCTCGCAGTGCGATGGTATTGTTCATTCTTTCGATGACGATATCTTCAACGGCTCCAGACTCAAGATCGATATTGGTCAAGACACCTAGCAGATAGGCTAGAATCCTGGAATGAAGACGAGTGACTTTGGGTTTGGTTGTAGAAGTGACTCTTTTCCTGTTATAGTTGATGCCATCGCTGCTCTCCTCATCTGACATATCTGGAAGATCCACGCGCTCATTGAGAATCCTGCTCTTCAGCAGTGCAGACAGCAACCGAAATCTCGTGTTCGACTCAGGAACTTCTACCATGACTCTCTCCTGAAGTTCGTTAACAGTCCTGTGTTTAATAATCTCATAATTAGCTGGTGGGACATTCCCAGCATCTTGTGGAACAAATTCAACAGCAGGATGGAGGCGAACGGCACCCGCCGTGATTGTCTCCATCGGGATTTTGAATTTCACCAAAGAGAACCATGTATCAGCGTCTTGTAGTTTCTCTTCTGTGAGTTTGAGTAACCCGGAGTTCCACATGAGGCGGTAGTAAAGGAGTAAGAACCTCTCACTGAAATTGCTGAGCACGATATCTGCATTGAGCGACCAGCCTCGCTCCAAAATCGATGGCAACAATTGCACCAAGTTGTCTGCAGAATTCTTGGTCAGAAGCAACAGACCACGCAGCAATTGAATGATAGCATGACCATCAACATAATGATTTCGTGCAAGGCCGATTAGATGGGCAATAAGCATCTCGTAAAGTCGGGTCTGCTTCAAATGCATAACGCTGTGTAGAATTTCCAACAAGTTCCAGATGAACAGAGGCCCTTCTAGCTGCAGCATCTGCTCGACCTGGAGAAATGCCTTCCGTGCAAGACGTCCTGCGAGGATACCCTGTCCACGCAAAAGAAGGTCTGCTACGAGCTTGAAAGACGTACTAATGCTTTCGGGGTCGTAAGGCTTTGCTTCGCTGATGTTTGGTAGATACAAGGAAAGCTCGGAGGTGTCCCGCACAAGAGCACGATCTGACTCTCTCATTGTCTCGTAGAAAGTTGTGCACCACGATCGAATATTTGTGAAGAACATCAGAAGCATTGTATCAGGACGACTCATTTTAGGTGAAGTCAGCCACAACTGCGTCACCTGTTGCTGGGCTTTCGACGGAGTGTCATGTTGTCCATCCAGCTCGTCTGGCTCTGTGTCGGGAGACAAGCTGCAAACTGTAGGGGTGCGCCGCGTATTTTTGTAGAAACCCCATTTAGTAAACCTCTTCTTGTACATCTGTGGTCTGAAATCATACAGGGTTAGCGTTTCCGGGATTGTAGGTAGAGCCGCATGAGCAAATGCAGCTAGCTGGCGCTGGTTTCTATAAAAGCAGAAACGGGATTCTTACGTAGCTTGAAAGCTGTATTTCTCTTTCATATGCGCCATCACATATCGAAGTTTCCTCCTCTCATGCATGTACAATCGCTGTATATGGGGATAGACAGCCGCCCATTCTGCCTTGGTATGGGGCTTGGGCTTGGGCTTTCGGACAGCTGTGGCTAAGCCTGTTTGAACTTGGTGGCCTGAAGCAACCGGTTTGCAGGCCAGAACGGTCAAAGGCGCATGCGCTGAAGCCATGGGGAAGCCTAAACGATGGATAGGTAGGTACCGTATAGGTAGGTACAGTATTAAACACCTAGAGTCGTAGTAATCACATGAGGCGTATCAGGATCCGTGAAGAGATGGAACTAATGTCACTGTTCCGACTGGACACCTGCCACGGAAGAAATGAAGTCTCCGTCCATCGCCCTTCTTGCCATCGACGCTGTTGCGTTCGGAGAAAATGATGTTGCCTGACCTTCCAGGAAGGTGAAGAAAGGTACAGGCTGGCAGGAGGCGTTCTTGAAGGAGCCAATGATTGACCTTGAAAAAGTTCCCTTTCGGAGTGAGGTGGCTTTGTTTGATATGTAAGCGAACGGGGCTGATTACGGCGGACTGTACTCGAATATGCGACAAACCCGGTCATTACCTTAGGACCTCCACTTCCGCAACCCCACCACTCGAATTTGTACTCTCCAACAGTACTTATTCTAGGTGTCTTCGAAATGGCTACACCATGAATTTGATTTCTACGAGTAACCTACCCAGCAGCCGCCTGTCAGAGCTAGATATTTTAGGCCAAGAAATCAGAGATGAATTCTAGAGTAGACTAGGTCTCTATAAGCATATTCAATGGCTTACTGTCGAAGGTTTGCTAGAGGGGTAATGTATCTTTAATATTGAGAACTGTTAGCGAGTACACGCTGGGGGCACGAAAGCCACTGGTTCAAGAAATCCTGACGAGTTTGTCTCGGCGGTACCTACAGACAGCCGTACTTAGACAAAATGTTTAATCTTAGCATCATCCTCATATAGCGATTCAGCCAATCACGGAACGACCATAAGTTCCCAGACAAGTTGGCGTTTTATAGGGAGGCTGATTCATGATCGCCAGCTGCCTTGCGAGAGGATCATTCACATTGTACGACATTTGATCGGATCGTCTGAGCCCGCATACTCCGAGTGTGTAAAGTCTGTAATAGACAGGCCATTATATATAAAGATGGATTGCTCTCCACACGAAGGCAGTAGCATGCTGTTTATCACTAGTTCTAACATACAGCATCTCCCATCGAGACTTTTGACTACTAGCATTATTCGTTCTCTCTACGTCTACCCAACTTAGCACGTCTACCGCATCATGTCAGCAAATATGGAGGCAAGAGCATCCCATGAAGCCAGTTTCTTCGGAATAGTCGCCAAGCAAGTCTTTCATAATGTACCTCCAATCCCACCACATGTCAATTTGAAGGACCAGGTGGCTATTGTGACTGGTGCTAGTTCAGGGCTTGGGATGGAGTGTGCTCGTCAGCTCCTGCAACTGCAGCTCACGCATTTAATTCTTGCAGTGCGATCTCAATCGAAAGGCCAAGATACTGCAACCACACTGCAATCTGAATTTCCAAGGGCACATGTCGAAGTTTGGCTACTCGATATGGAGTCATACGACTCAGTACGGGGTTTTGCTGGTCGCTGCGAGCAGCTTCCCCGTCTCGACGTTGTTATCCTCAATGCAGGCTTGGGTAAAATGCATTTCACCCGCGCCGCAGGTGAACACGGTCGTGAAGTGACGATACAGGTCAATTACCTAGCTACCATTCTCTTGACCATTCTCCTTGTACCCATAATCAAGGTTAAAGCTGTTGCGGCAGGTAAAGCTGAACAACTACCTGGAAGAATAACAATAGTCACATCGGATATGTCATTTTACGCCAAATTGGACGAGAAGGCACCAAGCATTCTTGACTCGGTGGATAATCCCGAAGGCTATGACGGGTTGCTCCAATACGGAAAATCGAAACTTCTCCTGACAATGGGTGTGTCGAAGCTGGCTAAAGCTGTGAGCGCCGACGACTGCATTATCAACGCCGTCAATCCAAGTGCCGTTAGAGGTACTGCTCTCATGCGCGAGGCAGAGACGCTTGTACCTAAGATCATTATTGGACTTTCCAACGTTATTTTGGGTCGTAACCTGGTCGATGGAACCAGGCAGTACCTACATTCTGCGCTAGTGCTCGGGAAGGATAGCCACGGCTCTTTTTGCGACTGGAAGATCAGACCGTAAGCATTTGTGATGACTATTCACTGATTATGTTGTTCGATGCTGATTAACAAGCCCGTAGGTATCCTCCCTATATGTATACTGAATCTGGTCGTCAGATAACAACGAAGCTATGGGACGAGACGCTGAAGGAACTCCAATTTGCTGATGCGGGAAATGTTTTAGAATCATTGAAGAGTTATATGTAGCTGCGTCCATGTACCATTATCGGCGGGCACCATTAGATGGATAGCGTTCTTTGCAATACGCCTCTTTCGTTTATCCTGAACCAGAAGCGCGCTTTGATGAATGTGACATCATACCTAGACCTCGACTATCGTCAAGCTTCCTACTTAGCGCCTGAACTCGTTTACAATTATTACTACATCTATTGGGCGGGTACAAAGATGTGGGGTGTCCTATTCCTTTGTTAATATAACTAGTAGAGTGCATTTCAGTTGCATCCCTGAAAGAGTTTCCGAATGTTGTTCAATAGCCAATCAGAGCGTCGATGAGAAGTAAAACATGCGCAAACACGCGCAACTTGTCAAAAAATAGTAACACCACATGCCGCCTAAGACTTACCTATATCTTTACCTTGATAGGTCTGTCGGGGAAAATGTGTCTTCTTGTTGAGTTTCCATCGATTTTCCAAGAAGGACTTGCGCAGTAACATAGCAGTTTTTCTCATTTCGATAAGGGTATCAAAGGTGCAGCAATGAATAATGCTGAGCTGGCTCGACGAAAAACGCCATGGCTTGACATGCCATTGGTGTTGTCCGGCAATTATAGAGAATACGAATGTACCCTGAACGAAACTTCGCAGTGCGACTACCAACAAGGCTACTGGAGATTCTGGTAAGTCGTGGGTTCGATTACGAGTACTCCACGGCTAAAATGATTCTGTTCTAGGTATGAAGCTGACCACAGATACGCTCTTCCAACCGTCGCGCTATTTCTTGCTGTTATCCTGGTCTTTACTTTAGGTCATGTTGCGAGCAAGATCCTTCCCCGGCGAATGTTGGAGTTGAGATCATTTACAAAGATAAGGGCATTGTTCCGATACCTATCCTACAGAACAATAAGGATATCGCCATTAGACTGGAATTCAGCGCCTCTGGGAATTCTCGTATTAGCAGCAATTGGTGTGATCTTCTTCTTATGCATGACGCTTGGCCCAAAGCCCTATTACTGGCCCAACACATATGAAGTGGACTACGGATCTTCGCCCCCTATTGCAACAAGGACTGGCTGGATGGCGCTGGCGTGTATGCCTTTCGTCTTTGTTACCGCAGGAAAGGTCAACTTGATCACGTTTTGCACTGGGGTGTCGCATGAGAGGCTTCAGGTATTTCATCGCTGGTCATCGTATGCTTTCCTTGTACTTGCATTAATACATATCTTCCCCTTTATTGTATACAATATTCAGATGGGTATGATGACAGACATGTGGAATATGTCCATATTTTATTGGACGGGCGTAGTCGCGCTCATAGCTCAAGGCTGGTTGACCTTCGCCTCGTGCGGTCCGTTGAGGTAGGCAAAAGCTCTGACCATAGAGCACGCCCACGATACTCGGTATGAGGCTGAATGTTAATAGGAATTGGAGCTACGAATGGTTCAAGTTTTCCCACTTCGTAGCAGCACTGGTCTTTGTGCTGTTTCTTTTCTTTCACTGCGATGCAACATTGACGGCTTGGTAAGTCTCTACACAGGACTCATGCAGAGCAAGGTTTTGAGTAACTGACAATGGCAGGGACTATTTTGTTGCCACAGGCATTCTTTTTTCCCTCTCATGGGCGTACCGCCAGACTCGGATCTATTTTGAGCATGGTGTACGCCATCGTGCGGAGCTTAGCCTTACCCCAAATGGCTTCATACTTGTTCGAATACCAACAAATGCAAGTTGGACCGTTGGGCAGCACTACTTCGTCCGCTTCATGACCCTTGGTCTGCATGCCTGGACAGTTCACCCATTCACTGCATGCTCTCTCCCATCTTCAGATCGCGGAAGAGGCGCGCGATCTAGCTCTGAGTTAATATTTGTTATCAGGCCTCGCGGCGGATTCACGGCCCGACTAGCTCACCTTGTTGAATCGCTACCAAACACGAAGGTTAGGGTATTATTAGACGGGCCATACGGTGGCGGTGATGTAAAGGCTTTGCAAAATAGCAAGCGGACACTGGTTATTGCTGGTGGGTCGGGCGCCGGCTGGACATTGCCTTTCATTAACTCGTTTTTGAGGCATACTGCCAAAGGCCTCTCTTCTACAGCGGACGCAAGGCCAAGTCAATCTATGAAGGTGATCCTAGCTACGAGGGACATGTTGACCACAAAATGGTTTGAAGAAGAGGTCCAACGACTTCTTGATTCAATACCAACAACAGAACCAAAACCAACTCTCGATATTGAGATATACTATACCGGGTCGAAGGCTGATATGGCAGAGCCAAGAGGAACTGAGCAGCTCCTCAAAGTATTGAATGAATCACCAAAAAGTGCACCCAAGCTGGAGCCAGACCAAATTACTTCATACGTTTCAAAATCAGACGAAAGCGACCAAAATCTTGTACAGAGGGTACAACACATTCAACATGTCGATTCGCGACCCGACCTAGTGTCAATAATACAGGAGGAGGTGGGCTCAATTAGTCAGAGTCAGCCCTTAGGTGTTTTCGTGTGCGGACCATTGAGTATGCAGAGCGATGTTGCCAACACTGTGGCTTTTGAACAGCTGCATATAGCCAAGAAAGGCACAGGAGACGTGGTTTTACACATAGAACATTTTTCTTAGGCTTAATCACAAGCAGGCTGCAGGTGCTAGAGAGTAGGAAAATCTTACAGAAGGTAGCTAAGTAAGAGACTTTCCTAAAGCAAGATTTTAGTAGTAGAAAGTAAAGTGCTAATGCTAAAATATAGTTATTTAATGATAATTAAAAGATTATGTGTCTATGACATCGGATAAGTAGCTTAGTGATTGGTTAGAAAGTGGCAAGTTTTCCGAACATGACGGACCCGATACTGATCCACTTCGCACCATAAGTTTTCCGCCATATCAGCTTCCCGTTCCCGATTCGGAAAACTCTGTCACTCTAACTGCCCCCGTCCTCGACGGAATACTCCAAAGCCCCCTGACGGACAAATCTGTGCACAGTGTCCATCTCAATCCAAACATCACTCTTTTGAAACTCCAGTCCTTTTCCATTTGTCTCATAGGTTTGGGCTTCAATGGCCGACGGAACTCCTGGTCCGGGGAATGGGATCCCCGGGGCTCGACCATATCGATCCCACAAAATCCCAGCCTGTGATTTCTGTCGTAGGCGAAAGTCCCGCTGTGATCGGGTCCGTCTCAAGGAGCCATGCTCCCTTTGCCGCACTCATGAGAGGGAATGCACTACGGCAGCGGATGATGTTGATGCAGTGAAACCTAGACGGTCGGCACCTCCTCGACCACGGGCCCGGAAGACAGATCGGCCATGGGTCGTTTCGTCTCCTGCCAATACACCGGTAGCAGCCGAAAACAGCATTGCGCCCACTCAAGATCCTCACGGCAGTGCATTCAGCTCCAATAGAGTCGAAAATGCGGCCAACACGATGTCACCGCTGGCTACAGCAACAGGGCTTTCCAGCCACATCATAGGCCCAGCCCTAGCTAGGGACGCGCAGATGTTGGAGCAGTTTATGTCGCCAAGAGACGATATTGCTGAAAGTCATGTTCATCCCAACCCATATAGCGTCTATTCCAATGATCCGCGAAACCCAGTAGTTTATATGAAGGTTCCCCGGCAACGAGGTGCTATTTCATCCGGAAACGGGACCCCAGGATTCAAGCAATGTGAAGTCATAGACAAGATACTGGAGCCCCTTGGGCCTAGTCTTATTGAATTGTGAGTATTTCGCTATTTCCAATGGAACAATCTACTCACGTCTTGCGTGAAAGGTATTTTGACGTCATACATCCTCCTTTTCCGATCCTCGACGAGACAGCCGTAAGGAAAGCATATCAGCAGGGCGTGCTGCCACATACACTGGTGTGTGAGATATATGCTGTCATGCTCGTTTACTGGGGACTGTCAGATAGCATTGCAGGCACGAGGCGACCTGTGCCCGATGTACGGTACATATGGAACCTTGCTGTCAGTGCAATGCACGAGGACTTCCTCTCTCCGAGCTTTTCGACTGTCCTGGCCTGCATACTAGATCTTCTGGGCCGGCCAATTACTTCAATAACGTACAATGCTGTCAATGTTGGGAGCTCTGTCGCTCTTGCTCAGAGTTTAGGGTTGAATCGGAACCCCAGCAGCTGGAATCTCGACCCAAGACAAAAGAATCTAAGAATCAAGACCTGGTGGGGATTGTTAATACATGACCATTGGTAAGATTGAACAACATAGGAAGAGATCTTACCGCTAATAATTTATCTTAGGGGGAGTTTGAGTCATGGTACTCCAGGTCATATTCACCGTGATCAATGGGACGTTGCTCTTCCCGAAATCAGCACGATCTTGGATGATGCACCCTCGAATAGTAATACATCTGTGTCAGAAGTACGCCTCCGTGGGGCGCATTCCTTTATTGCTCTCTGTCGTCTCACGAAGATACTTGGCGATGTCTTATCAGTGGTGTACTCTTTACGAGAAGAGCCGGTGGAGCATACCTTGAAAGTCCTCCGACGTCAGGAGGCTGCGATTGACGACTGGCAAGATTCGTTGCCATCTTGGTTGAACCCAGGAGGGACAGAATTTGAGCGTGATCAGCCCGGCTCATTGAATCTGCGACTGTCTTTCCTCGCCGTGAAGATGTGTATATGTCGTGTGGCACTCCAGGTAATTTCGACTTTCTCCCAACCCTGTGCCCGCTTCACCATAAAGCTGACAGTCATAGGCAACCCGCGTGAGTGATCAAGAAGAAGCTTTATATCATCAGTCTCGATGCATCAAATCGGGAAATGCGCTCATTGACTTTGTCGTCTCAATGTCAATTGATGAGACCAAAGTGTTTTGGCTACCATGTAAGCTAAGCTGTCACAGCCAGCTGCATTCATCCTTGGCTTACAATCTACAGATACAGCATACCACTTTGCATCTGCCGCTACTCTAATGATGAGATGCGCTCTGGAGGCGCAGACAGATAGTGCTGCCGACAAGTGTGTCACGAGTGCTCGAAAGTTAATAGATTATCTCCGGAAGATGAAGACAGATACGAATTGGGACCTGGCTGATATCTGCCTTGGTCAATGCGAGACGACTGTCAAACAAATGAGTCAAGGTGGTTATTTGGAGTTTCGAAGACGGAACAACGGGATCGGACGACCTCGGCAAGGACAATCTCAGTCACAAATCCATCGCCCGGTCCATGTCGATCAGTCACTCAACCAAGATGATAGTGCTGATGCGGAGGCGGATATCGATGAAGACATGCCCTTGGTAGACGGGACTCTAGAGCCAAATACAGGCATAGATGATTGGCAGGAGCACATGCCGGAGAACTTCTACTTCCCGGATCTATGGCAGGTTTCATACGCAGATTTTCAGCGGTGGACATGGACATGATGAAAAATAACACTTGGCTTTACAAATATTCATGCAACGCTACACTTTGGCTAGACCGAAGCCTCCTTTGGAAATTCGACAAGCAATCAAGAAGATGGTTCCTAGACACAGACAAGTTCCACCAAATGTGAAAGCATACTTGTACTCTCCGTCGCCCTTCTTGATCAGCATTCCTGCTATCGGAGGACCTGTCAAATTTGCAAAGCTGATGATCGAATACACCATGCCCATTCTTGTGCCTGCCTTTCGTAAATCTGTTGTCAGGGATGACAAAGCAGCAGGGAAAAGCCCTTGAACGGTAGCTCCGAAGATGCCTACACGTAGGAAAACTTGTCAGCGGGTGAGAACTTTGTCTGTATATGGTGGCAACATACCGTATAGAACGGCCCAACAATACAACGCAGCGCGATTTTTTACTGCATTCCAGCAATACAAGAGAACCATGCAAGTGAAAGCCGCAGGTGTGACGACATTTAGCGGTCCCAGATACAGGTCTGCTAAAAATCCTGGGACGACGCGACCAATGGCACCAACGCCGTTCATGATCATGAGTAGGTCGATTGAGGCGTCATATGGAAATGAGAGGACGTCGCGACTGAATGTACCGATGCTATTACTGCTTGTTAGAACGAAAATGATGAGAGACTCATTGAAGAGAACCATACTAGTAGAAGGCGAAGTAAACGCCCCAGAAATTCTACGAACAGTCAGATTAATGATCTCTCATGTGAAAAGTTGAGAGCGACCTACAAAGAACATTCCGATGGTAAACAAGGCATATGGTGCTTCTTTAAAGGCCGACAACTCAAGCAGCGGTCCTGAGCGTCGTGGTCGCGTTCTTGCTCTAAGAAACACATTCGCAAGTAATAGAGTGGCAAGCTGTACAAGTGCCATTGCTCTCATTGCCCATGGGAATCCGATTCTTGGCAGAAGTTGGCGGGCCATGACGGGGTAGATCATACCTCCAGTCGCGGAACCGCTGATGGCAATTCCAATGGCCAAGTTCCTCTTCCGCTTAAAGTATGTTGATAGGACGGCCATGACAGGACAGAATAGGCCACCCATTCCAAGTCCAATACACAGTCCCTGAGACAGGAAGAGCTGCCAATATGTTGTTGAAAACGAAGCCATCAAGCTTCCAAAAACAACAAGCGTTGATCCGATCCCGAGAACGATGCGGAAGTAACCGGCATCTGTCAGCCGACCTGTGAAGGTACCGACAACGAACAAGATGAACACTTGCATCGACCCAATCCAACTGATATCAGAGGCCGCATTCGATAAATGTTCTTGGTAGTATGACTGAAATATTCCAAAGGAGTTAATTGTTCCCCAGGTATTAATTATCACGAAGTGAGCCATGAAGGCTTGTGTCCAAGCATTCCAACCTCCATCTGGCGGCGGAGAATCGATGTCGATAGTTGTCCCCTGTCTCGGTATTATTTCTGTCGGTTCTCTGGCTTTTTCGACGTCTCGGGCTGGGGCCTTTTTGGAGAATGAGAAAAAAGAAGACGGCTCTGACGGTATATCATCACCACTAGAGTCTCCACAACATGATGAACATTGTATATCTGATCGAGAGGTGTCCATGTTGACGACTATCATTGTAGGTCAATACTATATGAAGTTGTCCTCAGCCATACTGCCCCTGATTATGCTTGGCCTTGCTTTATATAAATAAAGCGCGTTCTTCACTGTGGGCCATGAAAATCTGGAAACTTCATTGACCCCATTCTAGCACTCTCCCTGATCTATGTCTCCCGAGAATAGCCGTGTCTTCCAAACAACATCCATATGGGTGGCTTGTGTCTTACACGATACATCTGTGGGACTGTCGTCGCCGAGTTTCGGGAGTCGCGATAAGTTTCCCGAACGGACAACTCCGGGTGTTGTTGTGGAGCAAGATTCGCCGACGACTTAGTCAGTGTCTTTCCCGATCATAGTTTGCCGCTTTCATGCTTAGGATAAGATTGCTTGCGACACGTCTGGAATATCTTTAAATAGTTTTGGGATCCTTGCATCACTCAAGTCCTTTCTTCGTGGTGACATTAGTGAACAGCGTTGTGAACGATTACCCCCCAAACACTCATCACACATACACCATGGGCAGCATCACCCCACAGTCGGCCGACTCCCTGCCGCTTCCGGAGCCGTTCGCATCCATTCCTAGAGAACCCCTTCTATTTGGTCCATCGCCAATCCAGCACCTGCCTCGGATCTCCAAGGCTCTCGGTGGGAAGGTCGCGATATACGCCAAGAGAGAAGACTGCAACTCCGGCTTTGCATATGGAGGAAACAAGACAAGGAAGCTTGAGTATGTCTTTCAATAATGCTTATCGCCTGAGTGATGCACTTACTCATGTTGCGCAGGTACTTCGTACCAGCTGCTCTGGCAGAGGGCGCTGATACACTCATCAGCATTGGCGGTGTTCAGTCAAATCACACTCGTCAGGTTGCAGCAGTTGGAGCAAAGATGGGCCTGAAAGTGGCTCTCGTACAAGAGAAGTGGGTAGATTGGGAAGACCCGGTCTATGAGAAGGCGGGCAATATTCAGCTATCACGGCTCATGAATGCCGATACCAGACTAGACCCATCACCGTTTGGCATCGAGCACAAGCCGACTCTAAAGAACTTGCAGGCCGAGTTGGCTGCGGCTGGTCGCAAACCTTACTATATCCCCGCGGGTGCATCCGACCATCCTCTGGGAGGACTTGGCTTTGCCAGGTGGGCGTTTGAAGTTGAGCAGCAGGAGCGCGAGCTCGGAATCTTCTTCGATACCATTATCGTTTGCGCGGTCACTGGATCTACCATGGCTGGAATGGTCGCTGGCTTCAAACTAGCTGAGAAGCTAGGATCACGTCCCAGAAAGGTCATTGGAATCGACGCATCAGCCAAGGTCCAACAAACTGCAGACCAGGTGCTCCGCATTGCAAAAGCAACTGGCGTCAAGATTGGTTTGAAGGAGAACGACATAACAGAGAAAGACATTATCCTCGATGGCAGGTACCACGCTGGTGTATATGGAATCCCCGATCAACAGACCATTGATGCCATCAAATTTGGAGCAGCGACGGAGGCTTTTATCACAGACCCTGTCTATGAAGGGAAGAGTCTAGCAGGTATGATGGATTTGGTGAAGAACGAGGAGATTGCGGCAGGATCAAACGTACTGTATGCGCACTTGGGAGGCCAACTAGCCTTGAATGCTTATACCTCTATGTAAATGACTTTTCAAATCGAAAGGTGTCGACAATTACAATACGAGCTTAATATGACTGACTAACAGGTCAAATTTTTTGGTTCCCTATTAGAACCGTTGATACTTCGAACAAGATTAGTAGAAATATGGGAAGCTTTGAAATTTATCTCATAGAGAAGGCGTTGAAACTGTAAGTTATCTAGAAGATATTATGCCACTTGTGCTTTAATAAAGTCAACAATGATCGGAATATCCTCCAACAATGTCGCACCACTGGGAGTCCACCCCAATTCAGCCCTTGTGTTTACGCTGGATGCCGTATTATCGGCCACAGCGCCGAAGTGGAACCAGCCAAAATGATCATTTACCTCCTCCGGCGTGATGCTGACAACAGGAATGTCTAATTGCTTCCCTACCTCGGTAGCAACATCCTTCACCGCGACACTCTCCTCCGCCACCGCATGGTACACGGACCCGGCCTTTCCCTTCTCCACGGCTAGCCGGTACAACTTGGCCGCATCGTCACGATGACCAGCACACCAGCAGTTCTGACCGTCGCCGACGTAGGCTGAGACACCTTTCTGGAGGGCGACGGTGACGAACGGGCCTGAGAAGCCAGAGACACCAGGTCCATGGGTTGTGGGTGGTAGACGAACAACACTAGCACGCACTCCTTGCTTTGCGAAGTCTAGACATACCGCCTCTGATGCACCACGGGCCGCACCCAAGGGGATTGACACATCTGGCCCATCGTCCTCTTTGCCAAGCTTACTGCGTGCCAGCACCATGGTTCCTGATGTTATGACCAGAGCACGGTCACCTTTTGCAGCGGCTAGAACAGAGCCCATTGCAGTGATAGCGGCTCTATCAGTAGCACAAGCGCCCATGAAATCGGCAAAGTCGTGAATGAATGCCAGATGAATCACAGCATCGCATTCAAAGGCGCCCTTCTGCAGAATCTCGATGTCTTGGATGGTACCGAATAGGGCTTCAGCGCCTAGACTCCTCAGTTGTTCAACTCCCTTGTTGCTACGAGTCAGACCGAGAACCCGATGACCTGCGGAGAGTAACTCTTTAACAACAGCCGTGCCGACGAACCCGGTCGAGCCCGTAACAAAGACACGCATGGTGAAAGTTGGAAGGTAAGAGCGATGATACTCGTTGAATATGAAGGAAGTCTGTATTAGTCGAGGCGGGTCGCTTGATCAGGTTGAAAGTATTGTTCAGCCCATCTGTCACAGAAGGAAATTAGCCAGCAGTTTATAGTTCGGCACATCTGTACAAATCAAGAACAGGTCACAGACTTTAGTCATGGTAACTTTGAAGCCGTCACTTCGAAGCGTAATCTGTCCAGGTCGTAATGTGTTTCTTGGGATATCACTCGACAATTCGAGTCTCCACATCATTGGCTGATAGTGAGGACCCCTGTCAGGTATATTCCTCCCGCGTTTATTACAGCGTTGACTATCAAAGTACCCGTCTTACCTACCGATCGTACCAATCGTGCATCCCCAATTCCGAATTGAAGTTAGTGGGGGTTCCAAGTGAAACCAAGCCAAAAGCTATATTAGCGTGGCGATCGGACGGGCCGGGTAGATCGAAAGCGAAGGGTCCGGAGTCAAGGATACAAACCTTAACATCTCCATACTCTTGATGGAACCAAAGCACACACTTATCGAACGACCTGCCGATGATAGCTGAGTAGGCATCCGTCTTCTTCCATGCAAGAGAGCATGGACAAGCGTGTCCGAGCTTTGGAGAAGAAGCCAAGATATAGACGCAATTCTCGCTTCGGTTGTCGAAACTGCAAAATACGGAAATTGAAGGTCAGTCGAGTCCCTTCCTCAGCATGCATGTTGTCATATAGCTAGTTTGGTAACTCATACTTCAGTGTGACGAGACGAGACCCCACTGCATCAAATGTCGTACTTACGGGGTCTTATGTAACTTTGCATTCAATGTGCCTGATCTCCAGCCCCTCACAGAAGAACGAACAAGGCAAGAAATCGGTAAGAGGCAAAAGTCGCCCTCACCACAATTTGCCATTAGTAACGCCATCTGGTCTTATGATGGCTCAACTTTCTATATGATCAATCGTCAAGATCAAGAACTGTTCGATCGGTTTCGCTACCGAACTCTACACAGTCTCGGTGGCTCTGCCATGGTGGAGATTTACAACAGCTACATGTTAGGAGCCTCATTCACGGTGTGTACAGTAACGCTCCGGATGGTTTTCAATATCTAATTACTCACATTTGTGATCAGTGCCCTTTCCTGATGCATGGCACACTGGCCATAACGGCTGTCCACGATCGATATCTCGGCGTCACTCCCTCTAATCGTCGCTCTGTACAAGAATCATATCATTGGTCCCAGTGCACAGTGTTATTCAACAAGTTTTTACAACAATCTATCCAGGAGAGACACAAGGACCCCCTTTGGGCCACAGCTGGTATAACTGCAATCCTGACCTTCGCATCTATCAATACCTGTCCCTTAGAGGAGGCGTGGCCGCTCGGCGCCCCCGAGTTGTCTGACCTAGAATGGGTACGACTAGGTGCTGCCAAGATGGCCTTGTGGCAGTTGATTGACCCCTTGCGGCCAAATAGTGTATTCCGTCCCATGTATGAGACGCTTGCATGTATGCGTCGACAGTTGCCGACGGTAGGCACCGACGGCGTCGGGTCAAAGTTAAAGGATGTTTGCGAGCTAAACGACTCATCTACACAAGAGAACAACGCCTACTTTTCGGTTGCGCACAGTCTTTCCCGGCTTTTGGGTCTACCGCAAGACGAGTCTCCGCAAGGCAGAGTCATGACTGTCTTGGGTCACATGCATAAAGAGTTTGGAACCTGTCTGGAGAAAAAGGATCCCGTCGCGCTTCTTTTACTGTCCTTGTGGTACACGAAAGCCCGTGAGGCTTACTGGTGGATTGATCTCCGTGCGAGACAAGAATTGCCGGCGATATGTGCATTCTTGCAGCGGTATCATAGAGAAAACAAGGCCATACAGGCCCTTATACCATGGGACGAGGCGAAGGCTCTCGCGTACTGAAACATTACACAACTGTAGGCATTTAACCTTTTTGGAGAGAGTACAGACTTGATGAAAAAGATAGACTTGGCACAGCCTGATAACACATCATCAGACAAGCGAGAGACGCACGCGGCCACCTTGCAATAACGATATTAAACGGTTATGACTTGGGTCCAAAACAAATAATTGAGAACGCAGCTAGCGTAATTAGAACTCACTTGCATTAAGAAAAGACAAAGATAGTTCCAGGGTAGAAATTCAGGCGGGAGTGGCAGAAGGCAGGTGGGTGTGGGCTCAACCGTCGTTACGTCGGCTTAGTGCGGCATTGGCCAGACCATTCTGGAGCGACGTCATCATCACACGCTGCCGGTTGCCTCTTCCCTTCAACCAAAAACATTCAAAAAGCAAGACCTGCCCTCGTCGCAGACTAATCTGTGCGTCGCGCAACAACATTTAAGTAACCAAAACTTATTCAAATCGTCTCAACATCACATCAATTCCCCAAAAAGATAGCAACATGCCTCTCGTCGTTCCTGGCATCACCTCCAATAACGGAGACAAGACTGAGGAGTGGACTAACAAGCTCGTCGGCAAGACTCTATCCGAGGACTCGTCTAGCGAAACTGTGAGTAAACCATCTGATTTCACTTTGCCGTCGTCTTAGGGTCTTGTGAGATAGCATCGAGTCTACAAAAGCCTTGAGATGCCGGCTCTCCTACTACCTTTGATTCATCAGTATTCAGGCACTAATTACCGCATGTTCTTAGAGCTTTGCGAAGCGCGATCTTCCTCAAGAAACCCGCATCATTGAACCTGGCATGATGGTGACCAAGGATTTCAAGCCAGAGCGTCTGAATGTTCACTTGAAGGAGGATGGCACTGTCTCTCACGTCCAACATGGTTGAGTACCGAGAGAAAAGAAAGCGACCTTGATCTCAGGATATTGATGGCAAATCATGGCCACAAACCGCGGATGCTCGGTCTTGTAAATTAGCGCTATGAATGACACAATGAATGTACTGCATCACAAGCAATCGTTCTCAATAAACGTCGACACTGATACATGTTTCTGGGTATGACACACATATAGCACTGACCTGGAGATTAAGTCGTGATCTACAATGAACCATGCCAAAGGACTGCAGAAAACGGTACCCCGCTGACGACACACCTAAAATCGTCGTGGCTGGTGCGCTGTCTGCCCCTCCAAGATTGCCCCTCCTTAATGCAACACGCCACAACTAGATTGACCCCGCCATCCGTCACAAGCGCGGGGCAATCTCAGTTTGATGATCGATCATCCACAGCCAGCTACATCACGACGCGACCATTCCATTCCCAAGACGACCCGCGACGTAGCTTTGCTTCCACAGTCTCCCTTCATATTCGCTGAGCCTTCCAAGTAGTCGTCAACATGTTCAAAAAGGAGTAAGTCCCTTCCTGCCGCACGAGACCTTCACCTCCAGCCCGCAGTCAATCTCTCCTTACGATCCGCTTCCTTTTCTACGCGGATCTGTCGTGAACAGAACACAAGAGCCCCATCTGCTAACGTTCGCGCCAGTATGTCAGCTGCTCCCAAGCAGAAGCTCAAGTCGTCCGTACAGCGTTCCCTCCGCCAGTCCCTTCTCTCCACCTACCCGCTCCTGACGCCCTACATCGACGAGGTCCTCCCGAAAAAGTCAAACCTCTCGCAGATGAAGCTGCCCGACCGCGCCTCCCTCTACGTAATCGACAACACGCCCATCTTCTACCAGCAGGACAATGGCGCGCCTCTCCTGCCCCATCTCAAGCTCGTCCACCGCTTCCCCGCCGCCTTCCCCTCGATACGCATCGACCGCGGCGCCATCCGCTTCGTGCTCAGCGGCGCCACGCTCATGGCGCCGGGGCTTACTAGCAAGGGCGGCAGGCTGCCGGAGCCGAGAGACGTGGGCAAGAGGACGATTGGCGAAGAGGAGATATCAGACGACGGTGTCGATGCTGAGGGGCACTGGAGCAGGGAACTGGAGAAGGGCGAGCCGGTGGTCGTCATGGCCGAGGGCAAGGAGGAGGCATGTGCCGTGGGACTTCTTGTTGCGGGCACGAAGGAAGTAAAAGAGAAAGGCAAAGGGCCTGTTATCGAAGAGGCTCACTATTTGGGAGACGGGCTGTGGAGGCTGAATGTCGATTAGAATGTCGACCAGCTCAAGAAGGGGGTTGCTGGTCAACACAGGACGAAGACTACAGAGTGAATCGTCCCTCTTGAAGCCTTGGTTACGAATGTTTTAGGCAATATTCAGTATAAATAAGGTGATAACATATTAGTGTGTGCGTAGCCAAGTCTTGGCTTTGAATATGATCAATGGCGACGAGACTCTTAACTTAATTGCTCACCGCCTCACCACAAGAAGGTGACTAGAACACAGAAGGACCTACAGTGCCAGGCTTGGATAGAAGGTCAGGTCTGTCCTGTCTTATCTTGTGATCATGGATCTGCTACCATGATACGCTCTCAGAAGTTGTGAAGCAGGCTTCCTTCTCATCCCATCGACTATTGCATTACCTAGAAAACTGGTATTGGAGCTTGATGGCGACTGTATGCTGTGTGTTCAAACCTTCAGTGTCGGTGTCAAGTCTTATCAGAGTTTTCATTGTGTCTGGTACATTCCCCCCGATGGTGGTTGTGTTCTAGAGTTCGAATGTTCTCTTGGCAGGTGGAAGCACTTCAGACTTCCCGTCCGGCACAAGGGAGCGAATGTGGTTCCCAATCAGCGACAAGGCAAATTGGTCCGTCGTTGCTCCCTTTATCATGTCGAGAAGTTTCAAGTCATGATCCCGATGAAAAAGATACGCCCAAGGTCGCATCTTCTTCTCGGAGGTGAATGGGAATGCTAGGGGACCCTCCCCATGTTCACTATCCTCGCGCGAGGAACTTTCAACAAAGCCACATACTACCACGCAATCGAAATAGACTCGGTTCGACCTCTCAGTGAAGAGCTCGGCGAATCCGACAAATCTTTATGCCCTTCTGACATGAACCGATTGTGAGCTGCGTCCCAGGAGTTTGCTAATATTGGAGAGATACGTGTTTTCAGGCCGGTTGAGTCTTCAATTTGAAATTGGAAAGAGTGAATCAAGCTTCTCCTTGTTTGGTCATAATCCTTTGGCCGAACTCACTTGAGGATGACCACGGTGGTAAAGACTCGAGATCCCACCCTAGAATCTGGGGAATATATCCTGTGGTCCGCATACTGCCACACAAACCCTTGCAGTGTCTGAAACAAAGAAATCATAATAACCTGGTTAATCTTATTCTCTGATGTGCAGCTGAGACTAAGTAGGTGACCATAGCCCAACATCTCTGGTCCGGAGACTTCCGAGAAAGCATGTATCTGTATCCCCTTGTTCGTGACGGTGTATGGCGGATTTTCTATCAAGGGGTTATCGGTATGAGTAATGTCGCCGCAACTTCCAATCTCTTTTGGGATATTTGCGAATGCGCCCCTATAGAAGTTTGGATGACGTTTAGTTGACCAAGCAAGGAGACTGAGATCATCTGACTCTCTCGCAATCGATTCTGGGAGCCGCAGGAAAGCCTTCCCGCCTTCTCAATAAATGAGTGGCATGTTCACATCAAAGATATCAAGCAGGCTATAAGCCTGATCCTTTATTCTTGATGTAAACCGGTCAGCCGCCCACGACATCCTCCTCGCAACCGGTAGTGAAAACATGGCTTCCGCACTCATGAGCACAGCGATGTCGACTCCGGTGATTGAAGAGATCAGGTGCGACAATCCGTACTTGCAGCCCCTCAGTACCCATTACTGATCATAAAAACAGATCGATCTGGGCGCAATCATATTTTGCAGTGTCCATCCTCTCTTGAACCATTTGCATTTCGCCATAGACTAGACGTCGGAATCGGGCTGTAAGTCGCTCAACCATACGATTCAGACTGAGGATTCTTGGTACCAGCGGAACATCAAGTTGATTGACTCTGTCAACTCGGCGCTACTGCTTTTGTCAATGCAACAGGTGTGAACCCAGGCCCGAGTGATGGAAGCCTCGCGGGCCAGATTACAGACATTTTGAATCTTGGCAAACCCTTTCTTCAGCCTCGCCCGTGGGAAGTCTTTCATGTCTTGGAATGAGACCTCACCCTCTTCCCAAGTATGAGAGAAAATGAAGCAGTCCACATCACCACAGTCAGTATAATTGACGAGCTTCATAAGTTGTCGTGTCGATTAACCACATTGTTGGTCTGGATTCGCTCTTCCAATATGGGACATTTGTTGCTTGATATCGTTCAAACTTTATAGATACCTGAGCACCCGAGTACCTGTGTTGCAACTTATCAACATAAGTCTAGGTTAATTTGCAAAAGGGAGCAATTGAAGCCTCGAGGATGATCCAGACTTTCAGTTGGTGACAAGCCACTGGAATCAGCCCGCCTGTCACACGCAATCAGCCTACATTTGGCCCACACGAACTCGACCAATCCAAATCACTCCCCTTGGATGGCGTTAGCAACGATGATATTAAAGAAAATTATTGGAGTATTAGAGCTCTTTCCTTGCGTGCGCTTTTTGAGACATAGTAGAAGCTGTGAACAAGTTAGGTTTCAGCCCCCTTAATCCAGTCGTCTCTACTGAGCGCTCTTCCAAGGCCGCACTGCAAATCTGAGGCAGTACCTTCTGGTCTGTCTTTTCTCGTTTAATTTTCTAAATATCCGTGAGACCATGCTGGGCAGACTGTCTTTGAGATTTGCCCTTCTCAGGTGAAGATGTTCCCAGGCGAAGGATGCGACAGCTTGCCCCTGAGTCAAAGTCGCCCTCTTGTTGTCAGGACTGAGTGAGGTTACCCCAGCTGTCTACTCCAACTCTTTAAATCTTTGTGGTTTCCTGTCACACAAGATTCAGGAGTTATGTTGTGGTCGTCTTTTTCCGATTTCGCTTGAGATCCGTCTCGTTTTGAGCCAGCTTTTGAACGGTGCTCGACGGTGAGAAAGCAGACTGTCAACTGTATCAGCAGCTGTGGCTGAAGGGGAGCGCGAAGGGACGTGATCTTGCACAATATGAGACATGGTTTCGAAAATAGCAAGCCAATATACACTCGTAAACACTGCGAGTGCTTGCCATGGTGAACATCCATCCTGGATGCTGCGGAAGATTATATTGAGAATCGATACCTGGAAGAGAATGTTTTGCTGAACGAAGAAACTGAGTGGAGGAACGGAGAGAGGTGAGTTCAAGCCGCGGAGCTCATAGCAGTTATGCAGACAAGGCGTGAAACAATCCGGACAGCACTCGGATTTTCACTTAAACATAGACAAGTCACTACATCACTTTCCATGGAAGTAGCACTATAGTGCATCAGAACAAGTTTCATTTTTCTACGGAGTGTAGTTGCTAGCAAAGGCCATCCTCAACACATCCACCACGAGAAAGGAACTGCCGCAAGGGTTATCCCTGTCCTCTAATGATCTCAGGTCGAGGGGCCAACATTTTGCGTCCGTTATGTTGACGTGTGACGATGTGAAGCAACCGAGACTGAAGCAGTCTATTTGACGAGATGGTAGCCCATCTCATGGGTCATGTCCTCATCCATCTGACCCCACATCTTGCGCAAGAGGTTGCGCGGGCAGTGGAAAGCCGCGAAGATGGACAGCTCAGAGAGCTTGACTGGGCAGCGATCCTCGCCCATCTTAGCAACGAGAGTGTAGGTGTTGGAGACGTCCATCAGCTGGGCGTTATGGAACTCTTCCGCATTGGGATCTCGCTGCACGACCGTGTCTCTCTGATAATCAACGTGCCAGTTGGTGGCGAGACGCTGAAGGTAATCCATGACGCTGAGCTTGACCCAGGCCTGCGCGTCCACCATCAAATAACGGTCGGCAAGCAGATAGATCTTGCAGAGGTTGGACAGAATGTTCTCTCGCTTTCCAAGGTTGATCTGGGGCACCTTAACGCCGGACTTCAGAACCTGGATCAGGCGGTAGAACTCCATCGGGTCGATGTCTTCAAAAGACATGGTGTCTTTCTTAGCCTCCATCCAGGGGCCACTGAGCATCTTCTTAAACACGGGGGAGAAGTCGGTCAACAGTTTCTTCGGGACGAAGAAACGCTTCTGGACGCGAATATTGCCATCCTTGTCAGCGCGGCCGAACTCGCAGCAGATCTGGGTTCTTGAAGAGAGTCAGTAACGAAACATTTTTGTAGATCCAAATTCACATACCCTTGCTCGCAGTACACAAGGTACTTGATCCAGTCACCGAAACTGAAGGGAGGGGTCTCATCATCGATGGGCTATTCAAATAGTGGTTAGCAATGGACTGAAAGTGAAACTCTGTATAATAGAAGCTTACATTGCCATAGATGTCGACCATGTCATTGGTAGCATCGATCTCGCCGTCGGTAGCACGGTCACCAGGAGCAGAGCCAGTTGTAGTGTAGTCGTAGGAGATTGGGTAAGCGGGCTCTTTGCCTTTGTCAAGAGCCGGGGCGGAGCGCAACTCGGTGTCTTCGGTAGTAGCCGTGATGTTCTCAGCACCGACGACTTTGTCAGCCTGTTTGACGAACGGACCACCAAAGATGGACTTGTGAACTGCGTCAGGGGAGGAAGTGGTGTCTTTGTGAGCCTGCACAGCCGCTGTGTTCTCAGGAGTGTCGGCCTCGGGAGATGTGATCGCGGCACCGGAAGAGACACCAGTCACCTTGTTCTCGTCGGTAGTTGAGACATCATCGCCCTCTTTCTCATCATCAGTAGAGGAGGTAACGCTCTTATCATCGTCGTTGTCAGAAGTGGCAGCATTGGCTGCGGCACCCAGCTCCTCAATAGAGTTCTTAGCAACATCATTGACTTTAGTATCCTCCTTCTCGGAGATAGTAGAAGCTGCCTGAACAGCGGAGTCCTCGCCAACATCAGAATCATCGTCAGACAGACCACTTGTGGTCTTCACATCAGTGACGGAGGTAGGAGTGGAGGTTTCCTGAGCTTTCTCAGGGGAGGGAGACATGGGCTTCTCAACATCGATGTTTCCCGCCATGGCCGCCGAAGACTTGATGGTATCCACGAGAGTAGAGCCTTTATCGTTGTTCGTGACGGTCTCAGCTGAGTGGTGAGAGTGAGGAGGAGATGCTGCCAGGTCTGCAGGAGCCGCAGCCTGGATGTTCGTGTTGTCGTTGTCAGACATCTTGTGTAAGACCGAGCACAAGACTGAGATGTGAGGGTAGAGTGTGGTGTACGAAGTGATGAGGAAAAGAAGAAAGTGATGATTTTACCGGGACGTTTGTCGATGGTCTTCAACGAGTAGGACTGATGGTCTGGTTGAAGATGGTCTTGAAGAAGAAGAGAGGAGGAGACTCGAGCAGGCTGAGAAGAAATGGGAGGTATTTATACCCGTCCAGTGAGCGCAGCGGAAGTGGCCTTCTCCTGAAAGATAGCAGGTCTGATAGACTATTGTCCTTCTATAACGACAATGCAAGGTGTGATTTGCTTATTGTATCATGTTCTTGTCGCTACCGAGGACAATGATCTGAGAAAGGGGATATTGTTGGTGAATCGCAGGGGGCTGCAGACAGGGGCGTGAGGAGGTCAGGTGCTCGGCGGAGACATTTGCATGAAAGAGCGGAGCCTTCTACTACTTTGTGACTGAACATGTTAGTCTACCTGGAACCGGAAGCTTCTAAAGAACCTTACCGCTGCAGTCCTCTATCACTTAATCGAATGGCTGAAGAAATTGCTTTGTGTGCTTCAACGTTCATCATCCGGTCATGCTGGCCCAGAGAACCGCTCAATTTCTCCTGTGAAGAGTGCGCATGCCGGGCTGGCCAACCGGCCCTTGAAGTTGAGTGGATTAGAGAAAGCTTTCTCAGACGGGGTTTTCCCTTGAATCGTGAGGTCAGTATGGCCCTGACACACTACACGATTCCCAGGTACAAGCCATGTCTGAAGCAGTTTCTTACCAGGCACCGCGTCGATGTCCGCTGACCTTTCTGTGTAAGAGACAGGTTATGATCCTTCAGTGTAGGCAAGATCGATCTCGCCTTCTGAGGAAGGCTCGAACCTGTTCAGTAGTGGTAGTATAGAGAAACCACACGCCATCCATACCGCGATATCCTGCCACTGGGTAGTGAGAAGGAGCATTATCCAGGGAAGCCACTACCCAGCTACATTGCTCCCTTTTTCTCGCCCAAGATACGATGAGGCTGATAGAGCAAATGTTCAAGAGGAGGAGTTGGTGGATTCCGTGAGACGCCAAGCGAGTTATGACCTTGAAAAGAAACGGCCAGTGCTGAGGTGCTGCTGTACATGCCGCGAGGGTTCATCACTGAGCAATGCTGTCTGGCTTCCATACCATTGAGGGTTTTAAAGAGAACCTTCCAAAGACAAGCTGCCTCCAGAAGATGTTCGGCTCGAAGACGCTTCTGTTGGTGTCCTGATGAATACGAAAGAATCGATATCAGCGAGAAAGAGCGTCGCAAGTAGATGAGGCAAGTAGAGATGTTCACTTTACTCTGGGAAGCAGCTATGGACAAAGGCGTGTACACGATGGGCCGGGTCCGGCATTCAGGGCTTACTTCCGCAGGTAAAACCAGCCTTGCTCGGGATTACTGTAGATTTCTACACCATCAGTATGCTCCAGACTCAGACATTGTCGAAGATAAGATTCGAGTTGGTTAGGGAACCGATATGGAGTGTATAGGACATGTGAGAGGGAAACTGGTCTTTGTTCCTGAAAGATAGGGGTTATCTTGTGGTAGGAATCAAATTGCCGATGGATGCGTATGAATGCATGCTGGGTGCAATCTAGGTCTTGGACAGCGTTATGGATTGACCCCATACGAAGATTGAAGCAGTGAGATGGCCATGGTCAAGCTCAGGAGCTGTCGGCTATATCCTTGACAGTCGTATACAGCTTGTGCCAAATCAATGTAATCGTGCCAGGATAGCGGTTGGTTGCCGACGAATCTGTTGGGTCAAGAAGATTTGTAGCTGTATTCGACACCTCCGTTACGTAAATTTTGAGACTATCTAGTCTGTCTCACGTTGTATAGATCACCCTTTCAGAAGAAAAGCCATGGAACTGTCTGGTGTGGGTGGTAGTTCGCTCGGGAATCGTTGGACATTCTTAAATATCAGTTGATGGCGAAATTGAGAATCTAGTTGCACGATGCTTGTTGATATCATCAAAAAGATACGTAAAGAAACTGCTCCTGTGCATACTGCTGCTGCTGCTGTATGAAGATCTCTTGCTTTGAAGAGATCAAACAAATGCAGCCTGGGTAAACCTGAGATTTTCAAGTCGTCACCGTGTATAGAGATATGTCCCGTTGAATAGTAGTTACACTTCAGGGATGAAGCGGTCAAGGGGGTGTTGAAAGGGTAGAAAGTTGGAGGCGCTGGAGTAGTAAGTCGCCCATGTCAGTTCATTTTCTATAGAAGAGATGGACAGAAGCATGGTCAAGTAATGACAATGGATGAGTACACACGCCACATTGGGTACCCTGAAGTAAGGAAAAGCCCTTCCGACAATATGTCATTGCGATTGGAAATCTAGCTCACGAGAGCGTCTATATGGGTCAATGTGATGCCATTGGATGAGCACTCAGTATTCAATTCCTGGGGCCCTAGGGCATATCACAGCTATCGTACAGGTTGATCTTTCACGTTGGTCAGAAAGAGCGTATGTAGAGAGACGATATAGAAAAGGGTAGACAATAAGATAGCGTGCTAGGTCGTTGTGACGAAAACACCTCAGTAAAAGCTGTAAAGCAGAGGTTGTAAGCGTCCGCTTCATATCAGTGAAGCCGTGACGGGTCAGAGAAAGTCGGGGTTCAATGAAAAGCTCGGGGTTCATGGCCGAACAGGACGGCCTCTTGCGGTCCGGAGGACTGGCTGGTATCACAACATAATGGTCACACAATGGGGGGGATTGGGGTTTCAAGGGTTGAAGAGTAATAACTTGGAGGCGCCGAATTAGTACGTGAGCCGTAGAAATCAACTTTGACAGACGTCGTGGACCAGGCATGAATAAACAGCCATAGAAAAGACGGTATGGGCAGGTAAACCAGCGATGACAGGTTTCTGGCAATGGGGATATAGGTTGCCCTTGATGTGAGTAAAGCTCCATCTAATCATTTCTGCATACAGCGGAATCTTCCATTGCTCTATCTTGTACGCTTCCCAGAGCTGCCAATGCTGACTATCACTCGTATGCTTGAGTAGAAAGCCCAGTGTTCCCTCATCCATCCCAGCCTCTGCCAATAAACTAGCCCGTTATCACTGTTTCCAAGGATATTCCCGTCGCATGGCGTATTAGCCACTCGCAAGTCCTCGAGCGTACTAGTGGAGCCAAAGTAATTGATAGTAATCAGCCTCAGGAGGACAGATGTGTTGATCGCTACGGAGGTACAAGTGGAGGGGCGAGGTTGACTCTATGATGGCAAAGGTGGCCGGGAGTTCGAGGTAGGGGTTCAGGCGTAAAAGCGAGAGGCCAAAAAGACCTATGATATTGCGGATGGATTTCTCATATTGAAGAGGTGATCGTGCTCGTGAAGCCAGGATAGAGCTTTCCGGTGTTGTTTCGGCGTTCAAGAGGTCCTATGAGCATGCGAGTCTGATTAGCTGATCAGATCCCATGTTATTAGTGGTCTGGTGGGTAGAATAATCTGTATGTGTGATTAAATCGGGCAGACAATCATACCTTCATCTTGGTAGAATCGTGCCCAAGCAGATACTCTCCATGGCGCAGAGCTTCAGCGTGGCAGCTGAATTGGTACACAATCCTGATATAGCCCTCCATGGTGTCAGAATGTAGGTAATGCAACAAGCTTTGAACTGAAGTCGTGGAGTGATCGGGATGGTAGTAGAATGGCTGGATCAAAAAGGACATTAGCCAGCAGCTCCGCTACTAGAGGACATGAAGACGGCCGAGTCTCTTAGCTAGAGGAAGTGCAGAGACGCAGGGAGCATCTTCCAGATTCTCAGATCGAGCGCGCTGTTTGTTCTGAGACACGGGAGTAATGAAAGCGGTACTAGACGAGATATTGCTGTTTGAGTTCCATCTAGACTGTCCCAGATAGCAAAGCTATCTGTTCAATAAATTGTCAGCAACGTACAGAAAGTCGCATAGGGGCTAGCTTACAGGGCCAATGCACGGCGTGAAGTGCGTCTACCAAGGAGAGCAGGCATAAATATCGAGTGGTGGATAAGCGGGCATAGACGAGAAGCCTAGGCGAAATGTATGAGCGAAAGATACGGAAAGACATTTGGTAAATCCTACAAACGTGAGGTCAGGAGGTAAGGAGGAGTGGACGTGGTCGATCATTAGAGAGGCATTGATTAGTGGACATAAGGAAAGAAGGAAGATTGGGAATGGAGAAAATGGAAGCAGCCACAGCCTCGACGCAGGGACCAGCAAATATGAGCAGTAGAGAGTGGACAAGTAGGCATTGAGAAGCTGGCATAAGGGCGTTGGAATAGGAAGGAGAACCTGATGAAGGAAACAAGCGAATATAGGCAAGAACCTATGGGTAAGGCTGGTCAAATTTTGCTTGAGCATCAGGTTGGTGTTGATGCTTGTTGATTGTAACCGCGGCGATGGAGTAGGAAGTTAACGATTTCATTGTCAAAGAGGAAGGGATGACCAAGAACAACTCGAACACAGTGTTTCCAGCTAACAAAGGAATGATTGCTTTGGTATTCCGAGATGTTCTGCAGCTGACACTTTGAGGACACAGGCTTGCATCGTTTATAGGCAGAGATATTCATCGTGCTGGTCATCGAAATCTTCAGAGTCTTCAGAGTCACAGCTGTAATGTGTCAAAAGCCTTTGCTATTCGAATTCTCACGGTTCACAATACTCTGTACTTCGTTGTTGATAGTTTTAGAGACAAGGCTTAAAACAATTAGGCTAATGATAGGTGTTTCATGACGATGGCACCTCTTCAGGCTCTCTCTGAAAGCGAACCTGCACGCTCTGGGTAGCAGATCGATGGGCCAATCCAAGTAATGGGTTACAGGAAGTTGGCTAGCAGATCTTTGTCAACCAATAAATTTTGCTTGAACCAGAACCATACACTGGAAGTGGCACCATTAGCCAGCTTGGATCATAAAACGACCACGAACCCTGTCTGTAGACAAGAATAAAGACGATTTCGAGGCTAGAGAAGCAGAACTCTTGTCTGAACTCCTATAAACTATAGAAACAGTGTAAAGCTAAAGGATGTGTGGTTGTGTGAGTGTGTGTAGGGCCTAAACAAGATGTTAGGGAAGCCTTGCAATAAGAGTGGTCTGGAGAGATCGGTGATAATCAACTCCCATGGCATGGGCACCGAGCTTATCCTCAGCTGAGAGTGTAGAACACTTTCTTTTACGAAAATTGCATTTTGACTAAGGAATGCATAACAAGCATGGACATGAGAACAGTGAAAGGAGACCACGACATCATGCTGCTGTCTATTTGGGGGGCAATAAGCGATGATTTGCTACAGATGATAGAAGCATTGATTTTAGAAAGTCGAAAGGTCTAGTATTTGTATGTTATTATGTTACTATGGTTGTCGAAGAGACTTTCATGCACTGGAAGGACCATAGATGAAAGTAAGCAAATGATTTGTCTTTATATTGAGTAAAATGATTAAATTCCTGGTTCATGAACAGTACTGCAGAATAGTGTTGATAAAGGCGCCAGACTGCAACATTTACAGCATTTTATTGTCATGATAACGCTTAGCAATCGATTCAAGGTTGATTATTTCGAAGCAATTTGTCTTGTTTCAAAGTCTGGTAGTTCCCTCAGTTTCGCAAAGTAAGATGACGCAAAGATAGAGAGGACTGGTGCAAAGTGGCGTTCTGTGCCTCCTTGGAACTGCCTTGTAGCTGGATGTTGTCCTGACTTCATGTACTAAATAGGCACAGATTAGATTTTCACTCCTGGAATGTTCATGAAAGATTGTTGCTGCTGCCTGCAATGTGTGATGTGTTGGTGATATGACGGGTCCGCTTTTCACTTTGTAGTGCTCCTCAACCTGTCTTCGAGTAGCTTGTGAACACAAATTGCCAAATTCAACAACCTGGCAATACCAAAGAATTATGAAACACACTCAACCAACAATATTCTGTCCCTTTACCTAGGCACGCTTTACCTCAGTACGCTCTCATTCTTGAATAAATAGTGAGATGGAGCAGCTGCGTGCCGTGTTGACCGTCTTCGCCATTATAAGATCAATGTGAGCTCCCCAAATAAGGTGCAAGATTGTCATTACCGCGTATAATCGTTTTTGTCCGTTCTTACCTCATTGTGCTAGTTCCCGTTCTAATGGCCCGCGTAGCAGGATCAAAAGCCTAACGAGAATAGTACTACTCAAATGTTCATGGCCACCGGCTCGTTTAGTCTTCGACTTCATGACCCATGCTTTTCCCTAGAGGAATGGAATCATTCTAACGATCAATCACCCTGGCCGCAGTTCTCTTGCGATCTTACTTCTTTTTCACCTCCAGCATTAGCCTGTACGTGCGAAAATGGGTCTTCCAAGATGTCCCGGACAACGCTACATAGCATCGTCGTCTCGTATGCAGCTGCATAATCTAGAAGGATCCAAGCTCAAATCACGGACTTAAGCGTCGCAGATATGCAATGAGGACACGGAAACCAGTAAATTTGAATGTTTCGCGGAGGTTAGGTAGCCTCATGAATCAGCAGCAGGCTAATGCTTGAGGGCGGGAGCTATAGGGGCGATCCTACGCCCCATCACTTTGGCGCTATACCCTTTTCTGGAAAACCCGCGAGCTGAGGGACCTTTTGTGGAGTTATCGGACTCGGTCAAGGACAATTCAATGATTCAAACGCCATTTCAGCTAGCAACAGATCCACGATGATTTCAAATGCATTTTGTTGTACGGACTTTGAACAAATCCCTGGCCTATCTCCCTCGTCTGGCCGGTCTATCGAAATGCAAGCTACTCCCGCTGGCGGCCTTTGGCAAATATATAAGGGGAACCTCCACCTCCTCAAGGTGAGCCCGTCCAGAAGTCTGTATCCATCGGCTTGTCAGTTTCTTGAAGTTAACAGTACCTAGCCCTGATATTCAGTATACATTTTACAGCATTCAAAATCTGCCACAGACACAATGGAGCTCCCACCAGGTGCTAAGAAGGGTCTTGAGGAGACCAAGGTTGAGTACGTCAAGCTTGGCTCCTCGGGCCTTCGTGTCTCAGTCCCCATACTCGGCGGCATGGGCTTCGGCGACAAGCAATGGCAGCCTTGGGTGTTAGACGAGGAAGAGTCGCTCAAAGTGCTGAAGGCCGCCTTTGACAAGGGCATCAACACCTGGGACACGGCGGACATGTACTCGAACGGCTACGCCGAGGAGGTCATGGGCAACGCCATCACGAAGCTCAAGATCCCGCGCGAGAAGCTCGTCATCATGACCAAGTGCGCGTTGTACGTTGGGGAGGAGCCGAACATGTTCACGCCTGCTCTGGGGGCGCAGCTCAGCTTGAGCAAGGACTATGTCAACCGAGGAGGTATGCGTCACAGCCCTTCGTAGCACCACTGCTGCAGAGATACTGACCATTCATCCACACACAGGGCTGTCGCGAAGCGCCATCTTCAAAGCCGTAGACGCCTCGCTCGCGCGTCTCCAGACATCGTACATCGACCTCTACCAGATCCACCGCTTCGACCCGGAGACGCCCATCGAGGAGACGATGAAGGCGCTGCACGACCTCGTCCAGGCGGGCAAGGTGCGGTACATTGGCGCGAGCTCGATGTGGGCGACGCAGTTTGCGCGCATGCAGTTCGTGGCCGAGAAGAACGGCTGGACCAGGTTCGTGAGCATGCAGAACCTGTACAACCTGCTCTACCGCGAGGAGGAGCGCGAGATGATGCGCTTCTGCAAGGAGACCGGCGTGGGCATCATCCCGTACTCGCCAATGTTCGGGGGCCAGCTGGCCCGGCCGCTGGGCACGGGGGAGACGGTCCGCGCGAAGACGCCGTCGCCGGTGGGGAACAACATGTCTGAGGCCGACCAGGAGATCATCCGCAGGGTCGAGAAGTTGGCGAATGACAAGGGCTGGAACATGGGCCATGTGGCATTGTCTTGGCACAGAAGCAAAGGTGCGATTCCTATTGTCGGGTTCAACTCGACTAGCAGGATAGATGAGGCGTGTGAGCTGCGCGGGAAGGTCTTGACCCCCGAGGAGGTGAAGTACCTCGAGGAGGCGTATGTGCCAAAGAACGTCATGGGACACTACTAGACTCGAGATCAAATAGATTACCCAGATTTCAGATAGTCACAAGTTATGTGATCATCATTGCCATTCCGAGGAGCTTGTGTAACGGTCTCTCCCGGATGGTCGGCTAGTGAAGGTCCCGAGAATTATCCCAACAGGTCGGTCGAGACATGGTGCCTGGAGGCATTCCAGCGTGACGGCACAGTCCAAAGCTACAATGTGCAGGATCTATTTTTACAATCTTCAAAAAGGGGGGGACGACCTCCTGGGTATCTGCGGGGAAGTGGGGTTCTCCTAGAATGGAACTCACTGTACAGTGATCATTGACCAGCGTGCTGCCATGTGCCCATGGAGCACTGCAGCAAAATCCCACCTACGTGATGTTGCAACCGTCCAGATCGCCTTCCAGACAACCTTGAACGCGCGATGCAAGCAAGAGCAAGATGCAGGCGTGACGTCGGTCTCTTATCGAGATAACGTTATGAGCAGCTTCCGGCTTCCGGCCCAGCTGGTAGGCACGGGTAATTAGATCCATGCGACTTTGGGGCGCAGTGAGTGTTTCTTCACCTGAGGAAACATGCCCAAATTGAAGAAGGGGCCATTTTCACTCCCGACCGTGTTGCTGCCTTCATACCTACCTAGCTACAGTAGGTACTAAACGGTACGATGCTGTGGACAGATTTCACCGCCAGTTTCAAATCGATTAGCGACTTGCTTACAATGCAGCCGCCGCCATCGTCAACACCCTACATTTGGCAATCTAAATGTTGTGGTTCTAGCTTCGACTGTTTGCCCAATGATGAGTGGCACCGGTGGTGGTTACCTGGTAACGTTAACGTTGCTCCCACCACCGCAGTGCGGCCAGCCCAGCTAATAAGCTAAGTTACCTTACCTACCCTAACCTTATCTTACGGTGCGGGGATGATCGATGCTGTACATGTACTGTACCACCACTCTCTCTCCCCCCAAAGTCGAGACAGTTCCAGGGCTGGCAGGAGAGGCGCCGAGCTGTCCCTTCAGCCCAGCCCAGTTCAGCTTAGGCGGGCTCGCCTACTGCCAGGTCAAGCAGGTCAAGCAGGTCAAGCAGGTCAAGCTAGACAGATCGAATCATCTGCTACTGTGGCGCTGCGAAAACACACTGCACTGCAACATTGACGCGCCTCGTTGGTGTTGTGTTTCTTACTGCATAGTACAAGTGATCATATCAAGATGTAGCATTGACTATCAAGTGGCCCGTACGCCAATGTTACCAGGTAATTACCAAGGCATGCACGCTCCCTGGGCAGGTCCCTAGCTAGGTAGCTCGGGTAGGTAGGCTACTGTTGCTAAGCTGTGCTGTGCTGTGCTGTGCTGTGCTGTGCTGTGCTGTGCTGTACAATGCAGTAAGAGAGGCCTTGAGAGGCAGACAGGCTCGACAACCAGGACACCCTCCTTATGCAGGCAGGCAGCATACACGGTACGGTACGGTACAGCATTGGCAGGGCATGACACGACAGGACATGGCAGGGCAGGGCAGGGCAAGGCAAGCCGCAGGGGCTGTGAGTGATGGGGGGTAGGAGCAACGGGACCCAATCTCCAAGCCAATCCAGTCCAATCCAATGCGATGCGATGCGACGGGATGCAGTTGCAGGGAGGAGGGATCCTCTGCTCCACACATTTTCATTTGCGGCTGCTCCCTTGGAGAAGAAATGAAGGAAGAGAGATCGTCGGCCCCAAGAAAACGAACGGATGTTGCCAGGTACGGTACATGGATGGCCTGGACGGGACTGGACTGGCCCCGTATACTCAGACTCAGTATATAAGAGCATCATCCGTCCCCCGGGCCATCCGTCAATTCGAAGTTTCCCGTCCGTACCTCGCTCTGTCTCACTCACTGAGCATCGCATCGCCAACTGACCGAACGGTGACGTGCCTGGGCTCTGGGCTGTCTTCCCTCCCCGCGACAGACAGACACGAATACACGGTCCCAGACGGTCCCAGACGGTCCCAGACTGAATCACAATGCGCAGCCTTCCCCTTTCGGTCGCTGCGGCCATTCTGGCAATTAGTGGCGCGGGAGCCGTCAAGGTCAACCCACTGCCGGCGCCACAGGAGATTTCGTGGGGGACGTCAGGGCCACTTGCCGTGGCAGCGCTTACGCTGTCCCTCACACACCCAACAAAGTGCGTCAACGGGTCCGCCGAGAACACGCGCATCCTCACTGAGGCTTGGAATCGCGCGTACACGGCCATCACGACTCTGAAATGGGTGCCCCAGGCCATAGAAGAGCCAATCCCCGTCTTCGACCCCTTCCCGACCGCGGGGAGCGACAGCAACTCGAAGCGCGACGACAACGACAAGGCCAAGCGACATGGCCACGGCCATGCCCGGTCACGAAGACAGAGCAGCGGCCTCACATCGGTGCAGGTGACAGTGGACAACTGGTCCTCGCGGCTGAAGCACGGCGTCAACGAGACCTACAGCCTGAGCATCTCGTCTGAGTCCTCCTCCATCGACATTGAGGCCGCTACGATATGGGGCGCCCTGCACGCCTTCACCACCCTGCAGCAGATCGTCATCTCGGACGGTGGCAGCGGTCTGATTGTTGAGCAGCCCGTCACGATCAAGGATTACCCCAAGTTCGCCTACCGCGGCGTCATGGTTGACTCGGGCCGCAATTTCATCTCGGTGAAGAAGTTCAAGGAGCAGATTGACGGCCTCGCGCTGTCCAAGATGAACATCCTGCACTGGCACATCACCGACACGCAGTCGTGGCCCATTGAGTTGACCACGTTCCCCGAGTTCACCAAGGACGCCTACTCGGCCCGGGAGATCTACTCGCCCGACGATGTAGCTGATATCATTTCCTATGCCAAAGCCCGCGGCGTGCGCGTGATTCCCGAGGTCGACACCCCAGGGCACTCCGCTTCAGGCTGGAAGCAGGTGGACAAGGACATTGTCACCTGCGAGAACAGCTGGTGGTCCAACGATGACTGGCCCTTGCACACCGCCGTGCAGCCCAACCCGGGCCAGCTCGACGTGATGAACCCCAAGACCTACGAGGTTGTCACCCAGGTCTACGCCGAGCTGTCCCAGCGCTTCGCTGACGACTTCTTCCACGTCGGCGGCGATGAGTTGCAGACTGGCTGCTTCAACTTCAGCAAGCCGATCCGGGACTGGTTTGCTGCCAATGCGTCGCGCACCTACTTCGACCTCGCTCAGTACTGGCTCGACCGTGCCTACCCAATCTACATGTCCAAAAACAACACAGCCGGCAAGGACCGCCGCCTCATCATGTGGGAGGACATCTACCTATCCGCCGATGCCGCCGCCATCGACGTGCCGCGCGACATCATCCTGCAGTCGTGGAACAACGGCCTGACCAACATTGCCAAGGCCACCGAAGCCGGCTTCGACGTCATCGTCTCGTCCTCGGACTTCCTCTACCTCGACTGCGGCTTCGGCGGCTACGTGACCAACGACAACCGCTACAACGTGCAGGCCAACCCAGACCCGACGGCGGCCACCGTGTCCTTCAACTACGGCGGCAACGGCGGCTCGTGGTGCGCGCCCTACAAGACGTGGCAGCGTATCTACGACTACGACTTCACGCTCAACCTGACCGACGCCCAGGCCGCGCACGTCATCGGCGCCAGCGCGCCCCTGTGGTCCGAGCAGGTCGACGACACCATCATCAGCGGCAAGATGTGGCCGCGCGCCGCCGCCCTCGCCGAGCTGACCTGGTCCGGCAATCGCGACCCGGCCACCGGCAAGAAGCGCACCACCACCTTCACCCAGCGCATCCTCAACTTCCGCGAGTACCTCGTGGCCAGCGGCGTCGAGGCCACGCCGCTCGTGCCCAAATACTGCCTGCAGCACCCGCATGCCTGCGACTTGTTTTACGACCAGGACGTGAATGAGTAAAGAAGGCTTGTGGATGGGGTTCAGGAGCCAGGTCATGATCTAGAAGATTGTAATAATGTGTACATATTCCAGCGTAATCTAATAGCATTGACTGATGGTGTTCAAAGCTAATGTCATCTTCCTGGCTGTGAAACGTTTCTGCGAGTACCTTCACCGTTGGATAGACCTCCACCAGAACGCACGCGCCTGCGGACCCCATTATGTATAGAGCCATGTTTTTGCGTTGGTTGTCTCAGTTCAGTACGATCCCACAATCTCAATATCATCGGTCAAAACCTGAACTCTCCCCGCTCTATCACAGACTCGAGCACTGCATTCGCCGAGGCGTTCGCGCAGATTCTCAGTACATCCTTCATCCGCTCCCGCTGTACTGTCGGGACGCCATCGGTGCTGACAGCAACCGTGAGCGGCCACGCGAGCAGTTCGGCCATCTTGGGTGCGATCTCGGCCGTGGAATCAAAGCCGTTTTCCGCACCATTACTCGTAAGCGCACTCGAGGTCTGAAAGAAGTACGGGACGCTGTGGCACAAGTCCTTCGCTAGTGCATCGATGTGTTCCTGACATAGGGTCTTGAGGCCGATAATCGCAGAGCATTGCGTCGGGCATTCTAGCAGGAGCGAGAAGGCGCGCATACGGATGCTGTTGACGATCAACCTGACGGCGCGGTAGTGATTCCAGACGGCGGCGTGTCCGTGCGTGGAGTAGACGTGCGAGCAGGCCATATCGTCGTCTCCGTTGCCCGACTTGGCTTCTTGAGCGGGCGTGGTGGTGGTCGAGAACTTCCAGTCCTCGGGCGCGGATTGTGCCCAGGCCGAAAGAGCAATGTCGAGTTCCTGCGCCACAGATATGATCTCCTTCAACAGGTGGAGCCAGGCCATGGCGTCGGGACCTTGCCCGTGGAAGAGCGGCATCGCGGCCTCGCGCAGGGCGACGACCCGGACCATGAGGGCGTCGAGGACGAGCGAGTGGCCGGATTCGCCATATTGTGCGCCGTCCTCGACCCATGGCGGTACATGTCTTCCGCGAAGAGTACATGTTTTTATCTGTTGATGCCCATGTCAGAAAACCCCACCTCTCAAGGCCGAGGCTCAGCAGGGTAAGTAGGTAGATGGACTCACTACTTGGCGTCGGATTGCCCTGTGCAGTGCGAGATCTGGCTCATGGTCCAGCTTCTGGCCGAGGTTCATGAGACCTGATGCTCCCTTGTGGTGGCAGATGGTTTTCCATATGCGCGACCCAGCTTCATTGGATGGAGAGGATGCTGAGGTTGCTATTTGACGCCGCGTCTTACCATACATGGTGTTCTGCCGAGTCCTGTTAGTCTCCCATCTCGTCTCAATTGTAAGAAGCCGAATGCTTCAACAGACCTCGTAGCTAGCCATCAACATGATAGTGATCAGAAGCATGTCCAGATTCTCACTCGACAGATTCTTGCTTATTTGTTGTTGAGTCTTGATGATGCTCTTCGCATAAAATGTCTCCGCTTCCTCACAGGCCTCCTCCACGTGCCTCACGCGGCCAAATATGGCATGGGAACACGCATACAGCGCCAGCGACAAGCTTGAATCATCTGCAGACGCATTCAGGTGAGAGAGGACATGGACGCTGAAATCATGTCCAAAATCCGGCAGGTCGTCAGACCGAAGCATGAAATTCCGTATCCAGTAGTTGAGCGCCTGGTCATATATAGACACAGGCAAGGCTGCTGAAATCTTTGAAGGCGTGAGAGGGCCGGTTGCCGATGTCTTAGGCTGGCTAACGACCTGCCTTGCTCCTCCTCGCGGGCGTCGAGGACGGCCACAGGCAAACGCATTCTCGCTCTCGAAACGCCATCCTGCCCCTTCGTTCGGGTCCCAAAAGCAATCCCGGTTGGCTTTGTTGCAGCGGCCACAAATGGGCCGGACAGAATCGCACTATAAGACGGTGAGACTGGGAGGCTAATGTGCATGTGGATGGATGCGTACCCCTATTCGCCGCTTCTTACATGTGGAGCAGCCTCGCCGTGGAAATCCCATATCAGTTGTAGGGCTGAGCTTTAGGAGGCTAGCTTGGTCTGAGCAAAGCAACCCTTGATGTAGAAGATGCCTGTTCCACAATATTGAGAGACGTGAATAGATTAAGACGCTCCATCATCGTGATATGTTCAAAGTTATTCCTAGAGGCGGAGTTTGGACAATTACGGGAGTGGCTTATTTCCGACACCCACGGACAAAGTGCGATTACCTAAGCTTACTGAGGCAAGCTCCAACATAAGAGTTCAGTCTGGCTTCTACCTATCGCTTGAAAAATAGATGAGATAAATTTGGTTAAATAAAATAAAATAGAGAATAAAGGGATATGTTTACTACTAGCTATCAATATGGGTAGTTTGGCAGACGTTGATGACTGAGGGATAGCTATGGAGTGTCTGTGTTGTGGTCTTTTTCATTTTGCCTTTCATTCAAACCGATCGTCTTCTCAGAACCGTGTGAATTACACTCTAGCGGTTAAGATTTCACCTGAGTTTAGTCAATAATGAGAAAGTATGCGAGCGAGTTGGGTCCGTCCTCTTGGCCGCGGGCCAAAGAAAGGTGGCATAGCGTTCAAAACAGCACGAGGATATCGCGCTGCGCGCTACCATTGATGTTGTCACAAGCGTCGACATAGATCTATCAATCCTCGTAAAGTTACTCGGTAGTATATCAATGTGACAATCCGATCTCGGTTGTATTCATAGTTCAAGGGTCGGGTCGGAGCGATGCAGGAACCTTCCGCCAAGGTACCAAAGATAAGGAAAGTTCACCAAAACGGGTGTCGGCTGCATCCCGGTTTCCGGTTATAAGTGTCCCGCGCCGATGTCAAGGGAACAATAGGGGTCCAAATCGTAGCCACTCGCTTGTCTCTGACGAATCGATCGAAAGAGCTGATCTTGCTGCGTAAGGTTTCGTTTGAAATGGCACTTGCTTCCCTTCCGGATCAGTCAGTTTCGACAAGGCTTAAAGTGTTAAAGCATTCAACTAACAGTGTACTTGTAGATCAAAGCTTATCGGTCGAGACGAACTCGTGTCCCTGGCATCTGATGCCAGTATCACGATACCGGACGATGAGGTCGAAGACTTTCGTGTTCTAGTCAGCGCCATTGATCAAGCGGCACAACACATGCTGAAGTTCGACGGTACCTTGTCAGCCGTCACAATTGGCATTGATATGTTCCTGACCGCCCGCTACAGACTACATGCCCACCGTAGATTATGATTTGTATCCTCGAACTGACATCCATATACCTGAAGATACAGACATGGGCGGCTGGGCTACAAAGGTTAGTTTAATTGATTGAACGGGCTGAAACTCTCAACTACATCTGCTCACGTAGTGCAGGCTACAGTAAAATGCACGAAACCAACTTCGGACCTTCTAAAGGGGCGTACAATAGCCCTGAAAGACAACATAGCCCTCGCTGGTGTTCGATGTACAAATGGCACCGGTGCCATGGACTGGACTCCTACCATCGATGCTACAGTGGCGACCAGGATTCTAGATGCAGCTGGTGTCATCACTGGCAAAGCAGCTTGTGAGAACGGCTGCTTCGGAGCTATTTCTGACACTTCAGTCACGGGTCCTGTACACAACACATATGCTCCAGGCTATAGTTGTGGCGGGTCAAGTAGTGGTAGTGGCAGGCTTGTAGCTAACGGACAAGTTGATATGGCCCTTGGCTGTGACCAAGGGGGTTCAATCCGTTTGCCAGCAGCACACTGTGGCTTAATCGGATTAAAGCCTACATGGGGTCTGGTACCGTATACGGGGATCATAAGCTTAGAGGCTACAATTGACCATGTAGGACCTATGACGAAGACTACACGAGATTGTGCACTACTAATGGATGTCACTGCTGGGTATGATGGTATTGACGATCGGGTACCACCGATGGTCACGCCTGGGTACATAAAGTTCACAGAAGGGATCGAGGGAATGCTCTCAAAAGACATGCCACTGAAAGGCAAACGGATCGGTGTTCTAAAAGAGGGCTTTGTTTCGGACAAGATGGACCCTCGGGTGGAAAAGCTCGTAAGATCTGCGGCTGAGAGCTTGAGAGCGCATGGCGCTGAGGTGGAGGAATGCTCCGTTCCCCTACATAGCGAGTCGGCAAATGCGTGGATGTGCGCTCTTCCAATTGCTGGTTCTAGGCAAGGTCTATTAGCCGATATGACAGGCCGCAAACAATTGTACATGACCGACCGCGTTGAGAAAGCAGGTCGTCAGATGAGCCAAGCCGCCTTTGATGCTTTCGGGGCTGGCGGCCAGAATGTTTACCTCAGGGGCCTCTATCTGGAGAAGAAATACGGGCCTGTATTGCATGCACGTGCTGCAAATCTCATGAGGAAATTGACGGTATGTCCTTCTTACCATAGGCGCATAATATGGATCTTGCTCATCAAATCCTCTGACAGGATGATTACAATGAGGCGCTAAAGGATTTTGACATTCTCGTCATGCCTACTCTACCTACATTAGCTCCGACGTTGAATGAAGGTAAGGTCAAGCCTCTAGCCAGACTCTCTCGAACTCTAGGCTGCACGCTGAACACGGCCCCCTTTGACTTCTCGGGACACCCCGCGCTCTCCGTTCCGGTAGGGTTCTCGAGCCCAGTTGGAGACGCATCAGTAAAGCTTCCCGTCGGGATGCAACTTGTTGGGAGGCATTACGAAGACCTCCTATGTCTTCAAGTGGCTGCCGTGTGGGAACACTCAAACAAATGGAAAGATATTTATGTCTCGTAGTTGCACTTAAACCAGTACCCTTTACTTAAACAGAGCTACTTTTTGAGCTTACAACTGCAGCACTGGCTAATAATACATCATCCAACTTTTTCACCTATGTCTACGTGGAAACTTCTCCTACCAAGCCGCGGAACTTTGTCATAGATGACTAAGAGCAGACCCCCAAAAGTTGCCAGGATAAAAACGGTCGATATGGTACAGAACCAGCCAATACCAATCGCGTTGATTGCAGGTAACGCGAGGGATGTTCCCGCCGCCCCAAAGATATATCTAATCAGGTAATTACCGCCCAAGACCTCTGTGGATCTACCAGGTACAACATCTTGGATATTGTTAGACACTCTTGATGATCTCATTTTCGGACGATTGTTGGGGGTTTTACTCACCGAGACAATATGTGTTGAGGGCAGGAAATATCATAAGCTGAGTGAACCCCTGTATGAACATTGTAATGACCAGAAGTGGTATGCCACCCCGATTATACTCAAGACACCATCCATATATGAGCATGCATACCGGAGTTCCTAAGCCCATCCAAGGTACCGCAGCTCGTAGCCTATCTTCGGGTCTCCTATGTCCATCTCTTTTTCGAATCCATTTTTTGACAACATGATCGGCATACCTGCCTCCAAAGAAAGTGGCAAGTAGGTATCCAGAACCAGGCGCAAGGTAGAACAATCCTGATTGTAGTGGTATTGTAAAATGAAGCCTCGGATTGATCACATATACTATCGGTGCGAAGAAGGCATACATGTTCCACAATAGTGAAGAAGACGCCAATGCTACGAGGACCAGGTTCACTCTGCTAAAGAGAACAAGCAACCGCAGAGGACTGAATGCAGCTAATGTCCCGCGAACTTTCTTGTTTTTTGGTATGGAGTCCCAGCCTCGTCGATGAGCTGTTTCGGGGATGAAAGCCAATGCAAGAGCTGAAGCAATGCCTGACATAGCTGTCTGGAACCAATAGATGTTTCGCCAACTGCTATATGTGACGATTATCCCACCAATCAGAGGTCCTACGTCACAATGATATTTCAGTGGCAGTCACAAATAAGGGATTTGAGTATATTTATCTTACCTACGGCAGGGCCAATTAATGTGCCACTCATGATCCACGCCAAGGCGGTTGCTCTATCTGTCTTTCTTGAGTTGAGTCATGATGCTTCGTGTTTCCAAAGTCCTTGACTCACAGGTTTATACAGATCACCGATTACTGCTGGCCCACAAACTAAAAGGCCTGTTCCACTGAAGCCACTGAGCGTCCGGAACGCGAAGAAGGCGGCGAGATTTGGCGACAGTGCGCAGCCAAGCGAGAAAAAGAAGAATAAGATGACACTGCTCAGCAAAACAACTTTTCGCCCACTGAGAGAGCTTGTCACTCCCCAGATGAAAGCAGAGATACCCATGGCTCCTGTGTAGAGTCCATTACTAACATTGATGATGCTACCAGTCGTGTGGAAAGTAGCCGCAATCTCAGGGACTGCCGTTAAGCAACCGGTTGTGGCAATTGGCGCAAGAATGCCACACAGAGCCAAGATGAAAGAGAAAAGGGCTTTTCGGCGGCTAGTAAACCGGTAGTATATCGGATCATCGCCATCATCGAAAGCCCTCTGCTCAGCCACTTCGACGTCAGTGTCGTTGATCGGAGAAAGAAGTTGCGAAGGGCGGGATTTGTCGTCTTCGACAACAATGGAATTCCCCGGAGTGCCTGTCATTCTCTGACAATTTCACCGTCTTCAGCAGTGGTATATCTCAGCTCATGAACTGTGTGCGGTTGTGTATTCACAGAATTAATCGACAAGCAGAATTTACCAGATGGTCTGTGTGAAATCAAGAACGCCGAGCACAAATGAAAAGTAGTGAGCGTGGTGAATGTTGCTCACTTCTCCAATTGGTCATGCCACCCAACAAGTACCTTTCACAGAGTATCAATTGGCTCCTAGGGCTTTGCATCTCCATGTAAGATCCAAGTATAGAATACCAGAAGTAGTGTGGCGGCCGGTTATCGGCATATGTGAGAGGAGAGGGCTAGAGGAAATAGGTTTCCTTTGAGAATGTTTTTAAGGCACACAATTCGCCTGCTTTGCATCTTGTGAAACTTTTATTGACTGATAGAAATACAGTATCTCCTTGGTTAAGGACACTGGGTCTGATGCACCTCGAATCTACATAGGTATTGTGTCTGGAGTGAGCAATTGTGAGTATGGTCTTGCCAACCTTCACCCGGTTAGCTAATGGTACGAAGCGAGGTCGGCAGCATAACGGAATTTCTACCTCGGCTAGCAAGCTGCATCATCCTTCGTTCAGTAGATCTAGAGGAATGCGGATGGGAGTTTCACCCCGCGGCCAGGCGGCCTTCCATCGGCAGTCGGGAGACTGTATCTCGCTTGTCGTTTCCGTGCTTCCGCCTTATCTCTTGATATCGGAGTTCCCGCGTTTAGCTCAAAGGTCCAAACTTCCGGGACCGTTCGTCGGAGCCACTCCGACACTTAAACTCTACCTTCTCAATTGGAGTGACCTTACTTAAGACCTATCTCAACCTCCGATCTAGTTTAGACAATTTAGGAATTGATTGGTCGTCAGCCTCTTGTACACCAGTAGGGGTTAGTTCAGGGTTAAAGAGCTTTCGACACATGGATTATTGTATCCTCCTAGCTTGTTAGGGTGATGTACTAGGACTCCGAAGGTATTTAATTATTGATAAGTGGTTCAATGTCGACAGGGATCCGGAACCAAGCCGCTACCAGTATCTTGTGACATGGATCGAGAGATAAGGTCATACCACAGATAAGATAGATCAGTAGATATCCCGAACGCCGGACATAATTATGACTCTGTCGCCTTGTTTCTGACAATACATGCTCTTAGCCTGACTTGTATGATCAGATTGGCCGAGAAACGCCTGATACAGTCAGCATCTGTCCATAACTCCATGGTCTATTCGAAAACCAGATATTCGGAATGGTCGATTTCAGTAGATTGGCGGTTGCCAAACGCCATGTGCGTACGCAAGAAGAACGTGAACTTGTTAGAAGGCTTGACATATTTCTAATGACCTTCGGGTGTATTTCTCAAGGTTCGGCTGCTTTTTAGACTTTACCTGTCTCCCTTGCAAGATATAAACTATTAACAAAAATAATAGTTATCAAATGTAAGCAGTGTAGGGATAATATGTGTGCCTGGAGTTGACAACTTGCGGGGAAGATCTCGACCAGACCAATATCAGCAATGCATATGTCTCGGGTATGCAAGAAGATCTCCAGCTATATGGAAAAGAGCTGAATTAGTACGTGATGCTTAGCAATGTAGAAAGAATCATGCACTAAAAGGTTCCCACCGTTAGTTTCACGACCTATTTCAGTGTCGCATACTGTATAATGCTAGTTCCTTCCCAGGTCATTCTTACCTATGTGCGACCAAGCTTCTGGCTCTGCGGCTTAGAAATTGCTTGGGGGGTGATTACTGGACTGATGGCTATGGTTAATCATGCAAAGCAGGTGTATGCGCTCCGATTCTTCCTTGGACTTTTCGAATCAAGTGCGTGGCCAGGAATGATGACCCTTTTGAGTGAGTTGTGCTACAAGTTTCCCTTCCTTCCAATTATACAGAAGGTGAGGTTTTCTAACCCGCCATTAAGTGCATTGGTATACGCCTAGTGAAATTGCGAAAAGGATGGGTATCTATTGGTAAGTACGAGTTCTAGATGGCTTGCTTGAGTGACGATTACTTGCTTAACGTATTGACATTACTAGTTCCTGCCAGGCCTTCGGTTCGATGCTGTCAGGCGCGTTGGCAGTTGCCATCATGAACACTCTGGATGGAAAGAATGGCATTGCTGGCTGGAGATGGCTATTTATTATCAACTGCATCATGACTATTTGTGTCGGCCTCTGCGGCTTCTTCATTCTGCCTGATGTCCCCAATAATCCAAACCCGCGCGCTTTCTGGTTCAAGAAGCATTATGCCCGACTGGCCATGGAGCGACTGGATCGGTACGGAAAGGTTGCACCCAAGAAGATCACTTTCGATAGTGTGAAGTAAGCCAATGCGTCTCGATAGCAGCATCAAGTTGAGACTAAAAGGGACTAATCGTATTCATAGACGTACTACTCGTTCGTGGGTGCCATACTTTATTATCATCGTATATGTGGCTGGCTGCCTAGCATCATATGGAATCTGGTACTTCGCCGTATTTCTCAAGGCTCTGAAGAATCCGGATGGGAGTCGACTCTGGAGCACTTCCCAGGTCAATGCCATCCCGATCGGCGGAAGTGCCGTGACTGCTGCTAGCGGTTAGTGTCGCTCTCCTGTGTCTGAAGGTTTCCATTTCGCTAATGAAATGTCAAGAATGGATACTTGCCTTTATCTCCGATATTTTCCAAACTCGATGGACTTTGCTAGTTGCTCAAGGTTAGAAATTGAGCCTTGAAACACCACCATAACACCTTTCTGACTCTTAACTAGCCATCATCGGATTAGTTGGATGCGCCTACATGACTGTATGGACCAACCATCCAGCCACAACACCACTCGGAGGTGCTTATGCAAGCTACTTCCTTGTATTCATAACTATAGGCACAGCTCCTATCATGATGGCATGGCTCTCGGACTTGTGAGTATAATTCTCAAGACTTGAATTAGCTTGGAATATTGACAGCCTCAAATCTAGAATACCTCAAGATCCTGAATCCCTTACTCTCATTGTGGCTCTGTGCGTGGCCATCTATTACGCTATCACATCGTGGTCACAAGTTCTCATTTGGCCAGCGTCCCAAGCACCTTATTGTAAGTGTCAGCTTGCTGGGTCGTTATGGCAAACTAATAGAATGCCAGACACATTGGGTTGGAGTTCTTCCATCGGTATCTGGGGTCTTGTGATCGTCATGACTCTTGGATTAGTCTATATTGATAGAAAGATTCTGAGGTAGGAGCTACTAAGACCCTGTTCGTCCCCTTTATTTTAGTTCTAAAAAACTGTTCAGACCTCAAAGAGAAGCTTTCATGGCAACGGTTATCGAAGCTGTTGACAAGGCCAACGATTTAGACCAACAGACAGCAGGAGACAGTAAAGCACTGCACACAACTTCTATCAGCGCTTGAGTTGGTGTACTGATTGAAAACGACGAAAGCATGAAGCTGCATGATGCGACATAAACCAAGTACATTCGCATTTATTTTTCTTTGCAGTCATTCACAGATATTCTCCTTGGTCTATCATTTAAGAAGATCGTACGACGATAATAGACCACTCGAACAATAAAACTCCATGAGTTCGTATATCATGTAGCCCTGCTGGAGCAAATAAGCTGTCTCCCTTGTTATAAATCTTCGACGCATGATAATAGGCTAGGCCGTACCAACAGCCATCCACAGCAAAGTTCCAAATTCATCGACACTAGAACACCATCTGCCAATAGCATCTTCTGTTCCATAGATAAGCAACTGGCCGTTCTCATCATTGCTTCTCTTCCGCGCCTGGATCAGGTCCTTGATAGTGAGATCTCTGGCCATCTCCCCGTGATGATTTGTAATCCTTTCTCTATACCGTTTTCTCCACACAAGATCCTCAACTGGCTCCCAAAGCTCGCGTCCACAAGGGACAGGAAGACCCATAAATCCTCTACATTCTTCTTCCGTCCTGCCAGCCGCCCCAGATATATCAGCCAAAAGGAGAAGCTCGATTCCGTAAAGAATACAATAGGTTCTGGATTTGGATGAGTATCTGTTCACAGGAGTGTAACCCATAATCAAGGAATATATTACCGTCTCGCACTTTCCATCAATACCCAGTCGCATCTTCTGAAGGGATCTTGGGGAAATTGTCGTGACTTGAGATCAAATTCTACCTGCAGTCTCGTTGCGATTTCCTGCCGAATATGGTTAGTTTTTGAGGAATGATGACTGATCGAAGCAAAGTCCTTACTATCGTAGTGAGTATCAGCTCTCGAGGGTCATTTTCACTCAACGTGGCAATTTCCCCGGCTTGCAAGAGAGTATAGATGGTAAGAACTTGCAGCGCTTCCAGCAGTTTTTTGTCATTATAGTGACCATGCTGTACAAAAATACTGTATGTCAATCAAGATTTCCGACACGAGGAGAAACTAATGACATACTTCTATACGCAAGTATCTCTGGTGTGCATAGATTTGATCCCATACATATCTCCAATTTCTTGGTGTTCGTTTGTAGAACATGTGGAGAAGTCCATAGCAGATGGACAGAGATTCAGGTAAGCAAGAGTGTGGAGCGTCGTCACGACAATCATTTTGGTAAGATCCCAGTGCACAGGGAGGGTGTATGAACGGTGGCAATTTATGGCCTGAGATTAACATATACGGGTACGACAATAGTTGACCGACAAGTAGTTTAGCCGTTAGAGATGCGTCTACCGTGGCCATAACCCGTGGATGAAGAAGGGAAAGCGAATTGAATTTCCTTGTAACGATATCGTCTTGATCAAAGGTGACAAGAGAAACTTTTGGAAAAGTGACGCCTTCTGCCATTGTCTCAGTGTACCCTGAAGGTATCAAGGTTGAAGTTGACTGTCTGGTCGTTGTTTGCCAAGGGCTTCTCAGAATTGTCGAGCATTCCGGATTTATCAAACATTCCGGGTTAGTTGGACCGATGAGACTGATAGGAAGGTGTTCTATGTCAGACTCGAGCATACTGATGCCCGAAAAGTCCAACATTTGGGGAAGATCGTTGTTCGAATCTATTCCAGTAAAGTCATTGGAAACAGTGATAATCGCATTGCTCCTTTCATGCGAATTTTGAGACCGGCCAGCATCTTGTTGTTCGTGCTCGTTGGCGAGATTATTCAACGCATCATAACACGGTGCCGATGTGTAACGCCGATGGCTACTATTGAGTTCCCCGGTGTGTGGAAGGCTCTGACTGGGGATAGCATTTCCGCTGTAATCACAATACAGGTGTCTACCCTCGCATCTTGTGCATGGAGACTGAAGTGAGCAGCGAGCTTTTGCCATTCGGCATGGCCGGCAAGCCTTTTTCCGAGAGATAGGCATTCGGAGTTGTTACCTGCTAGTATCAGATTGGCCACCGGGTCACGGCCGTCCAGAAGCAAACGTGTAGTCGTGTATTAGACAGTAAAGACTTTTCCTGGACAGCCACGATGCAAACTGCAGCCTTGACGGAGTAGAAATGGGTCTCCGGAGCTCGTGTGGGTCTTCGGGGTTCAAGCGGGTCGCCGGCCGCCTGGACCGCCGCTCGGCGGTCAAGTGGACACAGCCAACCGCAACCACCAACACATTCAATGCCCAATTACACAAGAGATCTCAGCGGATTAGACTAGGGCTAGCTCGAGGTTCCCCGGAGGCGGTTCAAAATAGATCTTGACAAGTCCAAAAGCTCTACAACTATAAATAATGGAAGTCCGGTTGTCTATGCCGTTAGGGATGGTGGCCCGGGACAGTCGAGTTTCAGAAACAAAAATTAGCTTCAATATCACACAGCGCAGTAATGACTCCTATCAGGGTGGGCATCATTGGTCTCTCCTCCCGTACTGGGGCCCATGAGGTTGGAGGCTGGTGTGCAGTGGCTCATATGCCGTTCCTGAAAGGTTCTCCTAAGTATCAAATTATCGCAATCACTGGCAGAACCGTTGAGTCAGCAAAGAAGACTGTTGCAGCACACGGGCTCCCCGACACGACCAAAGTCTACACTAGTGCCAAGGAGATTGCTGCAGACCCCGATATTGACCTTGTTGTGGTCTCACTCAGAGTCGAGAAGCATTTTGAAAACACTCTGCCAGCTCTCCAAGCAGGGAAGAATGTCTTCCTCGAATGGCCATTTGGTGCTAGCACTGCAGAAGCCGAGAAAATGACACAATTAGCCGCAGAGAAAGGTGTCAAGACATTTACTGGGCTAGAGGGACGTACAGATTGGTTGACGCAGAAAGTGAAGCAGATCATTGCGGACGGAAAGATTGGTAAAGTCATTTGCTCGACACTTTCTGCGAGCTCTGGATTATTACCCTCCTCATTTTGGGTGGAAGATGCCCAGTATTACCTTGATATGTCGAGCGGTGGTAATGACTATCACACCTACTTCGGCCACTGTATGTGTTTTCAAATCCTCTGGGTCATATGCATCAAACTGACCTGTTCATGGCAGTGATAGATGTGTTTACTTATATCCATGGCGACTTTGACACGGTTCAGGCAACACTTAAAACCCAGTTCCCTACAGCAGCCATCTACAACGCCGAAGGGAAGTTAGTGAACGACTCGTATAAGAGAACAGCACCAGACCACATCCTTGTACAGGGGTCCCTTGCTAGTGGCGCTGTTGGTTCCCTTATTCTACGCAAAGCACAAGATCCTGTGGACGGTCTTGGTCTCCGCTGGTTGATCACAGGTACTCGAGGAGAAATTGAGATCACATGCCCCGAACAGCATTACAGCGTGGGGCCACCTGGCAGAACATTACGCTTGAAAATTGGAAAGGGTGAAACACAGGATATTGATTTCTCCGGGCCTGCTGGCGTTTTCGACCCTAAGTGGGACTATAACTCCCATAATGTAGCGCTTCAATACGATGCGTTCGCCGAAGGTGATACAGACCGATATGCCACTTTCGAGTCAGCTTTGAAGACGCGTCATTTGATGGATGAAATTGTTGAGAAATCTGCCTTCAAAGTCTGATGACTAGAATTTCCCTAGACTTTTCAATGTATCTCTTGGTTGACAAAGCATCAAATATACCGATGTAAAGAAATTGCAGCAAACATCTTGACATTCTGGATCTTGATCCTGTCCGAATGTTGGTATGTTGATTTGTTTAAGTGCTCCAAGCTTCAGATTAAGTGCTCCGTTCTCTCTCTACTTCAACGTTGTCCCTGTCAAGGGACCAAAGGGGAGCTCTTGAAGACTGTAAAGAGCCGCCGAGGCTCGCTAAAAGACGCGACCTTATCCCCACAGTCAAATTGCTATGTGCGCGGCTTTCTACGTAAACTTTTTATTCTATTACCATACTACGCCTGTTGTTCGCCTTCTCAACTACTAGCAGCAGCTATTGAGCATCTTCTTTTGTCTAAAGCCGGAGGTGATCGGCTATGTTCTCTGCTCTCATAGAAGAGGCCACAGAGCTAGAACAACAAACCAGACAAGCCAATCACTGTGCGGATCACGAAGCCGTCGTCAACAAAATTGGCAGATGACTGCTTTATAAATTATCAACGTACATGGTGCCTCAGGAAAGAACACGTCAAAGCAGCACCGATTGGGAAAGTTACTAGTGACGATCTGAAGAATATGATCGATGCTACAAGAGTGTGCATTAGGCTCTGGTACAATCCTCCATAATGATTAGTGAAAACCCAACTTAATGAAATGGTGACCAAAACAAGGACAACGATCATGCTCTTAGGTAGTTCACCATGACAGCTAGACTCCATATGAGACACTCTGGTAATTTTGCATGATAACACACAACATACACCCTTAGTAAAAGCCCATCTCTTACAACAGCAAAAATGTTGCACCCACTTACATAGCCCTCCTGGGTAGGCGTATCATTTATCAGAGCACAAAGCTGACTAAAGCGTCCGAGCTATGCCTAGAACCTGGGGTAAGAAGATCCATGGATGCACGGACCCGTGGGCTCCACCCAATGGCGATGACGTTCCTGATGAGTGGGCCTCGGCGAATCACAGGTGCCAAAGGTCCGCTGAGCAAGCGCCAACTGGAGCGGGACGAGTGACGCCTGTCTGTCTGCTATCCTCCGTCGCTGCCCGGGACCTGACATCCCTCCATCCTCCCGCCCGCAAAGCATCACCACCCACTGCACACATCAGAACAGCTCTGCACCGGCTATCGACCATGGCTTCGCGAGGCGTTTCTGTCCTCAAGTTCGTGGGAACCGTCTCCCTCGGTCTCCTGACGGTGAGTCCCTTTCTGACGCCCCTTTCACCGAGGCTTAGTGGCATGGTATGATCGGGCGTCGTGGCGATCATTGAGACATCCCCCGCATCGTGGGTCGGAGCACCATGAACAACCTCACGCCGCTGCTGCCAGTGCACTCAAACCAGATTGACCCGCAGCTGCGCTTCATGCGACTCATGTCAGGTGTTTCTTGACACTGATGAACTCCCAGGGCCTGTCTTACACACTCTCAACCCTCACCGTGCCGACCTTGCTCACCCTCCCCTCCGCAAGCACCGCCGCGAAGGCCTTCTACACCCTCGCTTCTACCGCGAAGACTCAGCTACGCGCTCTGGCCGGCGTCTCCAGCAGTGCCTTCCTGCTCGCCTTCCTGCTCTCCCCGCGCTCCTACCGCCATCCGTACCTCATCTACACCTCCTTCCTCGTGCTCACCTCCCGCCTCGCCGTCGCCGACTTTGTCGCTCCCTACCTATTCCAGTCCCCGCCAGCCTCCGCCGGTAAGCAGCCATCAGCCGCCGCCAAGCAGCGGAGAGAGCAGCGCGCCCGTGCCCGCATGGAGATGAGCTACGACGTCATCGGATCCGAGGCGCACAGCGACGCCACCGACTCGGCGAGCGACAGGGACCTGGCCGAGACCGAGGAGGAGCACCAGCTGAACGGCGAGGACGTCCGCGGCGAGGTCGAGGTGTTCCTCAAGAAGCAGATAACGTCCACCGCTCTGGCAGGCCTCGGTTTCCTGATGGCTGTCGTCGGCATATGGGGCGACGGTGTGGCAAGCTACCTGAGCGAGACTGTCGTCATCGAGGTCTAAGGAGCCAGACCGTTTTATCGTCATTGGGATTGAGGAGTTCAAATTCATTATGATTGTTGAGGGTGGGGTTAGAAAACGACTACACATTGAATGATATCGAGTGGGTGGCTAGAAAGAACGTATGATGATGTCGTGGAGTCACCAGAGGGTTTGTGGACGATTCACAGCATTGGACTCTCCTACTCATTACCCCCCTCTTTTTATGTTTATAAGCAGATCAAATACCAGGATACTCGGAGACGAAACTCAAGTGTACCAAGATCCATTTCCGTCTTCAGAGGTGAGTTCTCGCCGCTCTAAGCTGAGCGAGCCCTGAGCATCGGGTGAGCATCTCTGAGCTCCAGCTGACTCGGGCTGAGCTTGGGTTGAGCTGTAAGAGTTGGCCCACTTTTAGAATCTTATACTTTTGTAAAAACGGGTAAAGGCCCTTTATATGGCCCCAAGTCCTAAATCTGGGAACATAGCCTTGTTTTTGGCCTCGGTTAAAATTTCCATACTTAAAGTAATCTATGATGTGACCGAAATTGGGTTGTAGCTTCTGTGTGATTTATCTTGTTTGATTGTACCAAGGTAGTGTGATTTTGACTCTGATAGTAAGGTTAATATTAGACTATATCAAATTTGGAGATAATTCCAAACGCTCAAGATGACGCTATGACTTGTAGAGCAAGAGCTTATGTTAGAGACTTGTGGGAAAGGTAGTGTGGAGGAATTTGCATTGGTCCTCTGCAGCCTTCGCAGTAACCGAGAGCAAACCCAAACACATGCTTACGGCAACAATATGCTAGTGCAAGAACCGCCATCAGCAATACCGAAATGATTTAGAGTAAGTATATTTGCAAGGATTATATTCCTAAACTCAAGATGTAGCCAGTGTTCAATGCTACTCACACAGCATACATACGTAGCTTATGACTAGAGCAAACATCATATGGATGTTCCTAGATTATAGGTAGCTTTGTAAAGGTAGAAGGATCCAAGACTACCCCCCTTGAACCTGACAAATCCGGAGATATCGTTTGAAGATATGCCAAAAAAGTGTTAAGTGGAACCATTCGATAGTCCTAGAGAAATCGTCTGACCTATTGTATAGTATGTGCAGGATCTTGTATCTATCAGCATTCCGATCCTTTTTCTCCTCCGGCCTAAGGTATTAGCTGGGCTGATATGAGAGCGATCTCTCATGGCTAAATGAGGCTATAGCAATAGATTTTGATGTCTAATATACCTTCCGACAGTGTGGACATATGGATAGGCTCGCTTCTTCTTGCGGACGAAACTGTAGTGCGCAAGGGCATAATAGGGCCGCCTCAAAGTCAATGTGTGGGGTAGCCATGACTTTGCCACGTTTGGGTAAGCGACTTAATATGGCATAACATGTGACGAGCCTGAGAACAGGCATTATACTCGACTTGTCATTGTGAAATGCTCCTTGGTGTTATTATCACTAAAACCCCTTAACCGGATATAAGTCTAGGGAATCATATTCTACATTGTCAATGAGAATTATGGGCCAGTATGTTAGTAGCCGCTTTGGCCTAGCCGAACCGGACGGCATGCCAGTCAGGATTTATGCCTGACGTTATGTACTGGGCTTTAATTTTGTGATTAAAATGGATGGACTATAGACAACAATTTATATGATAGTCAGTAGGTGCTATCGAAACTTCGTCATTGCGTGTGGTATAGGTGATACTCTAATGATGCTTCATATGAAGATGACTTAGATGTGGTCTAGAGTATTGAAATCGTCCTCAGACTCCCATCCACGCTTTTTAGGATATTGTCGAAAGTCTTACTGGGGTTAATCGCTAATTTTGTGAACACCTTGGGTAGAAGATATCGTTAAACCTACGCTCTCCAAAGAGCGATGCTACGACGGTCTTTCATTGATTTGAATTCCCAAAAGGGCTATACAATACTTGTGGATGTGTTGATACCCCCTTCGGGCTAGATACGAAGGCGGTGGAACAAGGTGGAACCTTGTCTACATCTTAAGGGTGTCTGCGTGTGGATATGAATGAGGCTGCCGACGCTAGACTGTATCAGGTTCATATGTTATCTGCGAGTGGCTGCCGAGATAATATGTAAAAACCGTTCACTATCTATTGTACTCTTATGGTAATATAGAGAGTCTGACATAGGGATTCGAAATTAGTATGACTCTACTTTTATTACTCAAATTTTATACCATATGTTATGAGCATCTTTCCGAGAATAGCATCTTAAGGTAGACCTAAAGTCTATATAAGGTATGGGGTACTTAGCGATCCTCCTTTTAGAGTGAAGCCGTCTTACCCTAGCCATATGATCATAATCCTGGATCATGAACTGCCTCGTCAGCCATATGACCTAGACCTATAAGCTTCGATATACTGTCTAAGAAATCATTAAGCCGAAAATACACCCTTATTCGAAGCTAAGTCGGTCTTGCTACCTGCTCCTCGTCTCCTTTGTTAGGCCACCCAAGGCGAAAGGAGGATATAGCTCATAACCTAATGATATAGTGAATTGTCGACATACAAGCTACCTAGAGGTACCAAGAGTGTTAAGATGGGCAGTGTCGTGATGCTATCAATATAAAGTACTTGATGTAGGTCATATAGCAATGCCAGCATGATATAATGTGCGACGCATCGCCCTGACAGGGGTGACGATAGACATCCTTGCCACTAGGTTGTATTATTGAGTAGTTTATTTAAATAATGCAGCCCTAAGAAACCTAGGGGTCAGGTGGAGGAGCTGTATTTCCATGAGAGTAGCTAGGGAGAGAGACTACTCCCAAGGGTAATACTCTGACTTCCCTGGCGAATTGCCGACAAATGACTCCACTTGCTGCCTCCACAAGTATCAACGAGAGTATATTATAACAACCGTCGCAAATGCAGATCTTCAGTTCAAGCTTGGGAGCCTGTCATCTCCACGGTTTGAGCCTCTTGGGTTATCCGAATCAGCTGCTGCTATACTCTGGACGATTGGAGACGTGGGTATGCGAAGAATATCAGGAGAGATGGCGCAAGGTGAACGTCCTTCCCACTTTTCCTGGGCGACCACTTTGTCATGGGAACAATGCGCTCGCTTCTAACCCTAGATTAGCTGTAACATATGAAAGAAGTCTATAAATTTCTCATTGGATATAAGAAGGAAGTAGGAAACTCTGATAGGAGCGTATACAACTATCTCCTAGGCGTGATAAAGCAACTCTTTCCTGACATTAGGGCATATGATGAGTAAGTATGAAGACTAACGACAGGTAGAAATACACCTCAATTGGTACAAGCACTATGACCATAAAAACATTACGACATCTACCTTATAAACCATTAGGTTTGATTAAGAGAGGGGGTGGGTCCATAGTCATGCTACGATCTTAATAAAGGGTATAACTGCCTATAGCGCCGAGCATCGCAGATATCATTATAAATCTCCAATTAGAGAGATATCAGCGTCACCGGCCGGCTTCAGTGACTTTGTCTGGGAGCCCACTGGAACTCATCATATATGTGGATCTCCCTGCGCGAACTGCCTAACAGCTATTACCGCCACCGGAGGACTATAGCCTTTCTAGATTGTAGTTTTTTCCAACTTGCTGAGGCATTGTAATTCATGTATTATACTCTATATGCTGCAGAGTCCCTCCTCAACTCCAATCGCGTCAAGCATATAAATTATAATTAGGGGAGAGCATGTCTAAGCCGGCAGATTGATAGGCCTTAAGATAATTTAGTAAAGACGATTTCCTTAAGAGTTCTTCCCAAGCGTCTTGAAAGTATCTGTGGCTTGTAGTCACGAATAGGACGGGAAGGACGTAAGAATGTCTATTGTGAAAAATGGGAGGAGCTGACAACGCTTCTGTGGCCGTGCGGGTTCAGCGTTGCCTGAAAGGTCGGGAGCTGGAGGAAAGAGTTGCCTTAGGCGTGGTGCTCGGCTGGGGCTACGACTTTCGTAGATGTTTTGAAAACGACTCCTGATCCAGGAATACGGTGTATACGTGTAGGTTATGCGTACGTGGGTCAACAGAAGCGTCTTGAAGCCTTTCCCGAAACAGTAATGTTACTGGTATTCACTTAGTCGTAGTATAGTATTGTAGGTCTTATACTCTAGAGCTGAATACCTTCCTTGTATGCAAAGACTATCTCTCCAATCGCCTCTGAGGGGCCTCCGCCTTGGTGTCCTCAACAGTCTGGCAATTCTCTATGTAATCAGAATTGCCAGGGTTCTCGTCATTCTTTATTTGGGTAGCTCGCTTTATTTCTTCCTGCTTTTCAAGATTCTTCAAGCCCTTCTTGAAGATTTTACATAATGTATCGGAGGTAATTATGAACCCTGGATTTTCTGAGTCATTTGGTAGTCTGACGGTGCTACCTTGCACGAAGTCCATAACATAGAGTTTTATACCTTGTGAGGGGCCTGGGTTCCTACTATTGTCTCTGAATATCTACTCCCTAATTAGTCATTGGTTGTAGAACACCACATGAATAGACTCAGATGTCAATATACTTTGTCAAGGATAGAATCGCCAACTGTTGAGACTATTCTTCCTTGTTGAACAATGTCTCTTGCCCTCCAAATGGAAAATGTAATGGGTTTCTGCTGGATACTACCGTCGTTCTTTTTCCACTCTTTACGCACAAGAAAATAATCGTATATATTGATCCTAATCATCGTTCTGATCTTACCAGTAGATGACTCAATGTATCTCTTCGCTAAGTCCGTAAGGTCATCTTTATTCTGGGAGTATGCAACCTTGATTATGAGACTTGGGTAATCATAGTCGTTGTGCTGGAATGACCCGTCAGCCTCCTTCGTCATCATTAGGCTGCTGTCGACTGGGAATGTCCATTGAGACACTCCTGAATCATCAATTCCCTCAACGATTTTATAGATACAACCATCCTTACAATTATCCTTAATATCTTTCAGTTCCTTAGTGATCTTACCAGAAATCCCTAATCTGAGTTTATCGTGTAATAGGGTCTGTGGCATATGGATAAAGAGCT